CGTTGGTGCAAGTAATAATTGTTCGGCAGAAGGCATAAATGCCGGTAATAATGGAATAACCGGAAACATATATTCTAGTGGATAAAGCATTGCTACTAAAGCCATAACACACATGCTTAAAAATTAATTTAATTAATTAGCTTAAAAATAGTGTGTACCTAACAGCGTTGTAGTTACGAGATTGGAGAACAACCTTATAAAAAATGAAAATACAAAAATATTTGTGTTTTTAGTTAATAATGTATTTTAGAAAAATACAGAAGCGTTTGTGTTTTATTTTCCGGAATGCTTCCGGAAAATACAAACTAAATTAAACACCTTCCGGAAACTTTTCTAAAATATTTCCGGAAAGTTTATTATTTTTAAAACAAAAATACAAAAATGTATTTTTTCCAATTATTTTCCGGAACATTCACAAATAATGTAATAAAATTAGTTAATAATAACAGTACACACAACATTTAAATATAAATATTTTTCCCATGGGAAAAATCCAAAAATAATATTTTGTGGATTATCCAACATTTTTGAAAAAATATTATTATTCTCTAAAACCTTATATTCAAGCATAATTGCAGCTAGAATTTGCATAACAGCCTCCACCCCCAACAATTCAAGCGGTAAATGCAACGGGAAATCTACCAAAGAAAATCTGGTATAATCCGGAAGGGCAAATTCTAATGGAGAGGGCATCATATCAGAGGGAAGAACCTGTTTATTAAATTTATTTTTAAAAAAAATAAATATAGTTTTTAAACTTCAAGTAATAATTTTGTATTTCCAGGCACGGGAACAGGCGAACTTAGCAAAGTAAACAGCCAAGTTTCCAATTGGCGTAATTCTTGCATTACCTTTAAAAATATAAAAATTGACTCTAAATTTAGCTGGCATATCAGGGAGGGTGATATATCAAGGAGAGGCAGATCAGTCCAAAACACGCCCCTCGAGACCGACTTGAGGTAATATTTCAAGGAAATTAACGTTAGAAAGAAAATCCTACAGGCATAGGAATGCTCATTCCCTGAGGCCAATGTCCTGCCAGCACAGTCCACACAGCATCTCGAGGCAAAGATTCGTCCAAGTTGGCACGATAATTGCAACAATCGGCAAGATGTCGAAAAAGGTGCATAAGGTCGCGAAATGCAGAAAGAAAGGGATGATGACTTAACTAAAAATTGAATTAAAAAAATAAAATTTATTTTAAAAATATTTATTAACCAAGCATAGCGATATTAAATGAGCAGAACCACTAGATGAATGTTTGTGGTGTTGACGTTGTTTTTGTTGTTCTATTGGGGTGTTGTTTGTAATAACTGTAGGTGAATTAGGTGGTTGTTGTTCTTTTTGTTTTGCGCCTGTCAAGTTTTCCGGAAAGTTTATTTTATTTGTAAAATATTTCCGGAAAAGATGATTTAGTCTTTTATTTTTCCGGAAAAAATACCGGATGAATAAATGTTTCCGGAATTCGTTTAAAGAAAGTTTCCGGAAAATAAATATATTTAATATGTATTTTATGTTCCGGAAAATACAATAAATTTAATGAATAGAAGTTTCCGGAAAATACTTATGAGTAATATACTTTACATAATTATAATAGCTTTCCGAAAAGTATATTTACTTAGTTATTTCCGGAATCTGAATTATTTAATATTTTCCGGAAAAATACAAATATCTGAAAATTTCCGGAAATATTATAGTTTCCGGAATATAATTAAATAGCTTTCCGGAAGTATAGAAATAAATATTATTATAATTACCAAGGCTAAGAAAGAAGCTCAAAGTTACTCCATAGCGCACCTTGGCAGTATCTTTTTCAGTTAACATAAAAACAAAAGAAGTTGCCTCATTAAATAAATTTCTAAAAAAATTTATTAATAATTTTCAACTAATTATTTTTCCACCTTTTTCTTAATTGATGAAAACCAGATCCTGTGTAAGACACAGCACCCTCTGGCTGACAAAAATAAACAACATCTCTGGGTAATTCAAAATCTCTATGATTTTCATTTGGATACCTTAAAATTAAAAAAAATTAAATAAAATAATCCTCATAAATTTTAAAACCTTCTCAATAATTCTGGATGGCTAATTAATCCCCCTGGAGGTGCGTTGTTGAATAAACCGCCCTCGGCTGAAGCAACACCGTTTTGAGTTGGAATACGGCGACGTTTGGAAGATGTAGAGGGGCGTGAACCAACAATTACAATGTCTAATTAATTTTTAAAGAATAACTATAATTAAATAGTTTTCAGGAAAATAATTAATTTTTATACATTTTCCGGATAATAATTTATTAATTGTATTTTCCGGAAGGTACATATTAAATTTAATGTATTTTCCGGAAGGTATTAAATTTAATATATTTTCCGGAAAGTATAAATTTAATGTATTTTCCGGAAACTAAATTTAATGTATTTTCCGGAAGGTATTAAATTTAATATATTTTCCGGAAAGTATAAATTTAATGTATTTTCCGGAAACTAAATTTAATGTATTTTCCGGAAGGTATTAAATTTAATATATTTTCCGGAAAGTATAAATTTAATGTATTTTCCGGAAAATAATCAACTTTAATAAAATTTCCGGAACGTAATTATATTCTTAATAAAATTCCGGAAACAATAAATTTAATATATTTTTTCCGGAAAGTATACATTTAATGTATTTTCCGGAAAAATTACTCTTAATGTATTTTCCGGAATGTATATTTAATTTTTTTGTATTTTCCGGAACGTAATTATATTCTTAATAAAAATTCCGGAAACAATAAATTTAATGTATTTTCCGGAAAGTTTAATTTAAAATAAATAAAAAATACAATCAATTAGACGAGGACATATTGAGTTAGCAACACAAGTCTTTCCGGGTTGAAAAAGCCGTTGAGTTCCGGGTTCCATTTTTAATAAAAAACAATAGTTAAATTGCAAATAATATTATCATGCTTTAAAAAATATTTTTAATTAATAAATACAATTTTTAAATTAAATAATAAATTGTTTTTAATTAGGTATTAAATTAGTAAAATAACAAAAATAATTATTTTAACATATAAATCTTCAACAAAATTAATTTAAAAAATTTTTAGAATATTTTTATTAAATCAAAAATATTTTTTAATAAATTATTCTTCAACAAAATAAATAAAAATATTTTAAAAAGGCTTAATAAAACAGTATAAAATAAATAAAAAAAGATTCAAGCTTAAAGGAAAGAACGGCCAGCTTCTTGCCATTAAAGGGTAAGCATAAGAGGAAAAAGAAAAATATAAAATAAAAATATAGGTAAAGCTTAAGCATTTTTTGCAGTTTTTTCTTTTACCATTTGGACGTAAAAAACAAGAAACAAAAAAGCGGGTGGCACTAGTAGGGCATTATTGATTCCCTTCCCTCCCCCCTTCCCTCCCTTACTCTCGCTCAATTCTCGTTCGTCCATACAGTCGAGACTTCCCCCCCTTTCATTTACCCTTCTTTAGTAGTATTATAGTCTCCGTCACACGCACACCACCCAATGAAATGTGAATGAGGGGCTAGCTAGTAGTAGCTGCTTTTCTCTATTTTTTGCGGTTTTAAGGGGGGAAAGATGAAATGTGAGTGTAAAAAAGTATGGCCAAAAAGCTGTGCCTATTAAGGAAGGAAAATAAGGGTAAAAATGAAAGGCAGCGGAAGAAATGACAGAAATTGAGTTTGAAAGAATTTATGGCGAGGGGAGACTAATGAAAGAGCTTTAACAATAAAATTTAAAAAAATAAAAAGGACAATTGAAAGAGTAAAATGTGAAAATAAAGGAAAAAATAAGGGGTTAAATTGTTAATTTTTAATTTTTTGGGGGGTAGAGCACAATGAAAATAGGGGGGGGATAATTACCGTATTTGCTCTAGTAATCCCCCAGGGGGATTATTGTTTCAACCCATCTCCAGGGTGGGGGATTAATAGAGCCTGGGGGATTAATAAAGGACTGGGGGATTAATAGAGCAAATACGGTATATGAGAGGAGGAGGGAGGATTATTAGAGGGAGTATTATTGAGGGAATTATTGAGAGAGTGGGTACTTAGGCCTTTACGGTAATTTTATTTTTTAAATTTTAATTTTTCAATTAATTTCAACCTTTATTCCTCCTAAATCTTAAATAAATAAAATTTTAAAAAAATTAAAAAAGCGAAAGGAATTTTTTAATTTATTATTTGAAGCAACTAAAAAGCCATATAACCTATAATTTTGGCAATTTATTTTATTTTTTAAAAAAGATAAAAAAATTATTTTATTTATTACACAATCATCCTTCCTATTTTTTACGACTTTTCCCTTCCTCTTTCTTAATTTTTCATTTTACCTTATAATTATTTTGAAATTTTCTTGGGACTAAATAATAGCATGGAAGATGTAAAATTAGAAAGAAAAAATTTTTTAATAAATTTTAAAAAAATATAAAGGGATTAAGCCTTGTCTAAACAACTCCTTTTAAGCATTAAAGAACAAAGAAATTTTAATTAGTTTTTTTTGACACAGTAAAGTTTTAGAAATATACAATGAGGAAGTTAATTAAAATGTTTGTTATATTTTTATTTACAACACTATTAAAAAAGCTTTTGTTTACACAAATGTTTAATTACGTATAAAAAAAAAAATACATTTATGTATTTTCCGGAAAAAAAAACTTTAATTAAAAAGTTTCCGGAAACTTATTTTTATATCTAAAAGTTTCCGGAAAATTGTTCTTAACTAAAAGAATTCCGGAAACTATAAATTCCGGAAACTTATATTTCCGGACACCTATTTTCCTATTATCCCGGAAACCCACTTTCCGGAAACCTATTTTTAAAATATTTCCGGAAACTATAAATATATTTAAACTTTCCGGAATGCATAGAAGAATTATTAGAATTAACACAAAAGAATTTTTATTTTATTTTCCTTCCATTTTGAAGGAGTACTTTTTTTTTAATTCATATAAATCAAAAAAAGTTTTTTGGACTAATTTCTACAAATTTTATTTTAAATATTCAAAAAAATTTTTTCTTCAAGCTTCTTCTTCTTTCCCATCCTTTTCCTTCTCCTCATTATTTTCTTCCTCTTTCGTAGCTTCATTGTAGTATTCCTCCCAGTCAAGAAGGTTGTTGGTTTCATACAAAACAACTTGTAAAGCATTGAACACTAAAAAATGAAATTTAAAAAATTTAAAGAAAAATTCCAGACATCTCTTTGTCAATTCCAATTTCTTTTGTGCTTCTTCTTTCATTTTGTACAGCTCCTTAGTTTCAGTCGTAAGGTCAAACAGAAGGTAATGACTTCCTTGACGTAACAAATTTGAGAGGCGTTCAAACGTGTCCTCAACATATTGGTAGTAATTTTCTTGTTTCTGTAATGAAAAGTGAGGTCGATTCGGTTCGTTTTCGAGCTTTTCGAGGTGAAAAGCCTCGGCTCGACGATCTTCGAGTATCGGTTCGAGTGAGCTGGCAACCCTACTTGTGGGTTATCCGAAAGGAAAGGACATCTGAAAGGACAGTTTTTGAGGACAGATTTGGTCATAATGGTCAGATAACAAACAATAGTCAGATCTTATTAAATATATAGAGTGATATGTAGTAGTCATCTTCTGGCTATTATGGGACCATTATAATTTCACAAAAACTCGTTTAAGATACCCACAAGTACTGGGAAGTCGGAAAAAATATTTTCTGATCAACTTACATATCCATATTTAACTCCAAGAAGTGCCCAAAGCTTCGGGATTAAATCAAGCTTTCTAACAAAAGTGCCAAAATCTGGCTGTGGATTAGCATGCTTTCCTAATATGACTTCAGAAACTTCAACAAATCCTCTCTCTTCAATAAACTTTTCACAAACATTTAAAACGAAAGCTAATTCGGCTGCTTTAGTTTTGTAATTCTCTCTCTTCGTCTGAGGAATGTTCATCAACAAATCTGTTGCGAGCAGAACGTTTTCCTCATTTTTCTCGGTTTTAGTGGTAGGGGTAGTTTCATACACAAAAATTTCTTTAGTCAATTTTGCCACTTTTTTGGTTATATAATTTTTGTAATATTCCACTCCCTTCTCCCCGCTCTTCCCTCCCTTTCCTTCCTGTTGCTTCCCCAAATGGTGTTGCTTCTTCTTCAACTTCTCCTCAATTTCCTCATTTTTCTCAAACACTCCTAAATTTCCGTTTCCTCCCAAATTACTTCCATTAAATTCAGTAAATTTTTCTTCACTTGAAACACTCGACTTCTCAAATCCATTAATATGTTTTGGTTCAAAAGCCTTATTATCAACCGAAACTTTTTCTAAACAAAAATTTTTTTTCAATTTCTAGGACCCTTAGAAATTTTTACACCTTTAGTAGTTGTCGTATCGATGACTGGTTTATGGCTGTCGGTTGATGTAGCCATTATTTTTGAATTCTTATTCATCTTCCGCATCGGCAAGTTTGAAAACGAGGCAGATCTTTTATTTTTTTGTTAGAGAAATTTATTAAAAATTTTCTATGTCCCTTAGGAACCATTAGGAATTTAGAAAAAAGTTTTTATTAAGAAAAATACCCTGAGACAAAAATGGGTTGAGATTCCATTTTTAAAAGCTTGGGCAAAATTCCTGTTCCGGCACTCGAAGGAACAACCATCCCTGAGATTTGTTGAACATAAAAAATTAACAGTATGGCAATTATATTGAAGGGTATTGTTGAGGTAATTAACATTTTATATTTTATTTTCTCTTGTTTGAGTGATGAAATGAGGGAGATTTAAGAGAGTAGTGTATTTTGAGAGGGGATTTTTTGATTTAAATCAATTTGATTGATAGACTGATAATCACGTAAATATATATACGGGCCTCGGATAGGCGGTGAAGGCAAAAAAAAATATTTAATTGCATGACATTAGCATGGGTTGACCTTATTCATGAGACGTCTAGCAAATCTTGAGTTTTTTTCAACATGTATTTCGATGAAAATTGAGTTTGCGCATTGTTGCACTTATAAAGGCTTTGTAAAAATACATATTACTGAAATACACGTGAACATCACTTGTATTTTCCCTTTTATATATTTTGTATTTTTAGTTTTAATTTTGTATTTTCCGTAAAAGTTTTTAAAAAATAATTGTGTTTTCCGGAAGATTGTATTTTTGTATTTTCCGGAAATAATTGTATTTATTTTTCCTGATAATGTATTTATTTTCCGGAATGTATTTATGTATATTTCCGGAATATTTTTCTCTAACCTCTTCTAGCAAACACAACAAATCTAGCCTTTAAATTAATGTATTATTCATTTTATTTTATTTGTTAACCGGAAAAGAATCCCTCTTATGTTTCCTTCCCCAAATTATAACATGACCAAGTCATAGGGGGGAAAGGCGGATGTTTTTGAGGATGTGAATGATTGACTGAATGACTGTCTAGTGAAAGCACTTGATTAAACACAAGTCATAGGGAAGCACTTATGCATGCGCACTCATTTTTTATAATGAAATTGGCTAACCTTTGAATTATTGGCAAATTGCCGATTTAAATCATTTTATGCAAAAAAATATTTTTTTTCTTCCTAGCTCCTACTTAAAAATTTTCAAAAAAATTCAATTTTATGTATATAACAACTATCAAATAAAAAGTAATTAACAATTTAATAATTTGTATTTTTTCGATTTCCTCCTCCTCTGCTTCAATTGCCATTCTCCTCCATTTTCATCTTCTTCCTTCACTTGTTCATTCTTCTCTTCTTTCTCTTCCTCTTTCTTATCCTCCTCCTTGTCTAGACTAATTTTCAAGCTTATCATTTCTTCCTTATCACCCCTCTTATTTTCAGATTTATCCAAGAAGATGAAAGCAGTTGTAACAGATTCCCCCACCTTTATGAAGCAATCCTCCTCTTCCTTCTTCTCCTCCTTCTCCTGCCTCTTCTTCCCTTCCTTAGCAGTTGTAGCAGATTCCTTCACCTTTGTGAAGCAATCCTCCTCTTCCTCCTCCTTCTTCCCTTCCTTAGCGCTTGTAGCAGATTCCCCCAAGGAATCCCCATTCTCCCCTTTCTTCTCCTCCTTCCCATATTCTTCCGCCCTTATAGACGAATCTTCCTCCTTCTTTACCTCTTTCTTCTCTTCCCCCTCTCCAACTTCCTTCTTTTCCTCTTCCTTCTCTTCCCTCTCTTCAATTTCCTTATTTTCCTCCCTATTTCCTCCCCAAACATTATTACAATACATTGGAGTACTTGCTCTAGGGACCGACTTCTTTTGCAATAATTTTTTCTTTACCCCACCCCCATCTTTAACAGTATTATTGAGGCAATAACGACATTCTTCCTGCTCCTTTTCATTATTATTATAATCATTTTTGTCTTCTTTTTTGTCTTCATTTTCAATTAAAATGAGTTGAAATTCAATTAAAATGAGCTTCAATTTTTAATACTTGTTGTTGTCCCTTCTTTTGTGTTTCTTCTATTTTTAATTTTTCTAAATTTAATTCCTTTGTGTTTGCTTCAGAATCAAATTCTTTTTTATCTTCTTTGTTTTGTTTATTTTTATTCTGACGCTTTTTTCTCTTCTTCCCCTTATTTTTAGCTTCTTCATTTACTTCTAGGTTTGCTTCATTCTCGTGTTTTGCTTCACCTTCTTGTTTTGCTTCAGATTTTATTTTTGCTTCATCTTCAGTCTTTGCTTCAGTTTTTGTTTCATTTTTAATTTTTTCTTTATTTTCTTCAAGGTTTGTTTCATTTTCTTTTAAAAGCTTCGCTTCATTTCCCCTTCCCCTTGTTCCACCTTCTTCGTTATCTTCTTCCCTTTCCCTCTCCTTTTCACCTTCCGACACCTTTCTACCTCGTTTTCCAACTTTTACAACACCCTTCTCTTCAGTCATCCCTTCATTCCTCCCTTCATTCCTCTCTTCAGGCAATTCCTTCTTTACCTCCTCAATTATTTCCTCAGTAATTTTATAAAGTGAATGTTCTTCCCCCATCACAAATTTAAACATGCCCAAAGCCTCTCCCAAATAATTTAAAGCTTTTTGGCGTTGTCCCAATTTTTTCGCAAAAATTCCAATATTTCTAAGGTGAAAGGCTAAAGCTGGGTGATTGTGAGGATAACAGAGCCTTAAACAATTTTCCACGTTTAAATGTAATTCTAACAGAAGAGTTGAGTTGTTTGGGTCTATGAAAGGGAGTAGGGCCTGAAAATTAATTTTTTGAAGTTTTTTTAAGAAACAGCGACGTTTACGGACCGAAATTTACGGATAAACCTAATGTATAAGCCTTCGATATTGAAATAGAGGGGCACTAGGTTTTGTCCAGTACTTTCAGGATTACCGTGTATACCCAAGTAATTACCCTCTCTCAACTGATTACCCCTTCTTTCTGGAGGTAGCTCCTTCCTAGAGGTCCTTTCTAGATTACTCTAGGGGTAAAGTATATACGGTATTTTGGTGATACTGTACTCTCCACAGTTCATTCTATAACCTATAAAACAGGGTATATCCACTGGGTATCCGCAAATATCGTTTTACCCTTTTTAGAAATACTACCTGTACAATTTTACACATATACACGTTGATTGGGGGAAGTATTTTTTGATGCCTAGACAATAAATCTTGAAGAAATTTCTGAGCATTAATTTCCCCCATTTCTTGAAAATTTGTTTGTTCAATTACCTTAAAATTTAATAATGTCAATATTTCAAAATGCCCAAAATTACATCGCTGATAAAACACATGGCTGAAATAGCCTCCAAAACCTGCCCTTTCTCCAACATTTTATTACAACTTGGGCAGGTAATTAATTGTGTTTCAGAATTTTTGTATTCCGATTTTCCAAAAATACACAGAGAATATTCACAATTTGGGCATAACATTGAAGATAGTATTTGTTCTGATTCGTCCAGACAACGAGAGCATTCACAGGTGAAATACCATGTGTCTGTAATTTTTTGTGTTTTTATTGTGTTTTTAGTGTTTTTCTGTATTTTTTTGTATTTTTTGTATTTTTTTGTATTTTTTGTGTTTTTGTATTTTTTGTGTTTTTGTAGTTATGTATTTTGTGTTTTCTTTGTATTTGTGTTTTTTTGTATTTCTTGTATTTGTTGTATTTTTTGTGTTTTCTGTTTTTGTATTTTTCTTTATATTTATGTATTTTCTTGTATTTTTTTTGTAGTATTTTTTTGTGTTTACCTTTAAGTAATTTTCGTCTGTCCTGTTTAGCACAAAGCAAGTCAATATAAGAATAAAATGTTGAGGAATAATCCAAAAGATTGACCTTTTGAAATTTTGACATTATGAAAATTTTTGGAATTTTTATTCAAAATTAAAATTTTTTAGGCTTCGAGGGCTTGAAACCATTTTAAATTTATTTTAAAAACTACCTTAGAATCTAACGATCTCAATGTAGCTATAAATGAGTGACAACTGTATACTGTATTTGGGCGACAACTTTTGAGAGAAAATTAATTTTTAATCAACTTTTTTCAAATTTACCTGTGGTCATAAGCACACAAATCCAAATAAAGACCCTTTCCAATTTCCTACTTGATTTGTATTTTAATTAAAAAAAATTTTTTTTCAATTTTATTTTTACCCTCAAATAGTGTTTGTCGCTTATAGCGTGCCGGTTGATAAAATCACGGCAATGAAGTTCAAACACTACTTGTTTGTTAAGCATTGCTTTAGGGTCATAGAAGCGACATAAACGTTCATAAATACCTAGAAAATTTATTTTAAATATTTTTCGAGTTTTCGACATTTTATAAAATTTTTGGGTACTCGACATTTTGAAAAAAAATTTTTCCTAAAAATACCTTCAAATTTCCTCATTGCATATTCATCATTTTTAATCCTCTCAGTATGCGCCCAAATCTCCATAATTTTACGTTTGGATTGTCTATCTTTGTAAAAATCTGGGTCTTTTTTGTCTACTCCACAAAGGATAGCCTTCAAAAAATTTTTTTTTAATTTTTCCAAAATTTTCCTTTACTTTATGTCTGCTCACAATACGTCCAAGCAGTCTAACTTCAATATCCGGGACTTGTCCTTTGTTTATTTTAATTCCTTTACATTCAAATTTGTGGTCTTTCCAGCCCAGGCTTTGACAGTTTTTATCACAAAACATTGCGTTTTGACAGCCTGTACATCTTCTGTTTTGTTTTAAAAAATTTTAAATAAGTAATATGTGTAGGAATCGAACCTCCTAACATAAATCTAGGTTATCCTAGATCGAGATTTTTCGAGATGTCGAAACTCAATTCTCGTACAACCTCACAAGTCCGGTCTCTTATTAATAGACGTTTTCCCTCTTTGGAGCTAAAAAGATGAGTGGAACCGTTAAGGTGGACGAACCGCCTTTCCAGCATTTTGTAGCCATAGGGGCACTTTTAAGGGGGATTTGTGGACTTAAAGTGGACAAGGTGGTATTTTATGTTGAAACCAACTTTAATTTTTTCTCATCATCCAAGCAATACCAACAATGTTTTTCTAAGCATTCATCAAACAGGGCATAGGCAAATGGATAAAAATCGAGTTTTGTTGAAGTTGAAGAGGATTCCATTTATTAATTTTTAGAGGGTTAATTTCTCTCAAAATTGACTAGAAAATTAATAATCTTTCAACAAAGTTAAAAATTTTAAAGGAAAGGAATGTTCATCTCTTTACCTTTTTGCTTGTTTTTGTTGAGAAAAGTGGCTTGGAAATCGAAGAAAAGGAAGCTTTTTCATATTTGCTAGGTAGATACTAAATAGCAGCTGCTTTTATTTTTTTAACATTTTTTAACTAAATGATTTTTGTTTTCTCTGATTTTTTTTTATTATTTTAGTAGAGAGACAAATGTTTTTGTGTAAAATAGTGGTGGTGATTTTCACACTATATTTTGTGGATTGAATAGTATCATATCTTGATTTTACATTCACCCTTAGGGATGGAAAAGAGTTGTAAAATTGAGGTTTGTGCCATTAGAAATGTACTATGTAAAATCCAGGGTGTATCTAAGTAAAATCAAAATCCGTCTGTATACAGTATATGAAACAAATACATAAATCGAGATCTTAAGATTGTAACTCGGATAATTTAGTAAAAGTCTCCTTTATAGCCATATCTACCTGTAAAATGTATTTTTAGGAATTCATTGTTTTCCGGAATATGAAAATATTTCTCGGGGCGGTAGGTCCTTATATATATACATATTTATCTTTTTTTAGACGGTTCTTAGTTAAACGTAGAATGAAAAATTTTAGGAAAACAAGAAAATAATTTTAATTTCGATCCAATCTTCATTTTTTTAAATTTTTAAACACATACACCTTTATAAATTTAAATGTTTAATCAGACATATTATTAAACAAAAATTTTTTAATACTATTTTTAAATGTTAATAATCATTAAATTTTGTTGCGGGGCGGTCGGAAACACTGCAAATCAAAACTGAAGATTTTTTTTTAATTTTTAAAGATTTTTAAGAGGGGGAATGGACAAGAATGTTTTTATTAAATGTTAATCCGGCTGCCTCCGTTACATATTATTCAGAAGCCTAAACTAATTAATTTTAGAAAAAATATTATTCACATTGAGCAATTAATCAGGGTGTTTTAAATTTAATTTTTGTTTGAGTGAAAAAAAAATAAAATTGAAAAAAAAATTTTTTGGGGAAGAAAATTTTTTTTAATAAATTTGCTATTTTTGTTATTATCAGAGAAGAAAATTTTGCGCCACAGAAAAAAAAAGAATTTTTAAATATTTTTTTAAAATAATCGAATTTTAATTAATTAGGCTTCATGGCGCTAAGATTTATTTTTAGGCATTCATTTTTGTAAGTTCCTCAGCAGCGCCAGTACATATTTGGTGTGCGAATGCTTTATAGTCACATTTACCTATAAAAATGTATTTTTAGATTATAGATGTGTCTTCCGGAATTAATTGTGTTTTCCGGAATATAGTATAAAAATATTTTATTTCAGTATATACTCTTTCCGGAATCTATATTTGTATTTTCCGGAATATATAAAAATATTCCTTTGTTTATAGAAGTTTTCCGGAATTTCTATTCATATTTTCCGGAAAGTATATAAAAATATTTTTTAATATAAAAGATTTTCCGGAATTTATACTTGTGTTTTCCGGAATATAAAAATATTTTATTTTAGTATAAACTCTTTCCGGAATCTATATTTGTATTTTCCGGAAATATAAAAATATTATTTTGTTTATAAAAGTTTTCCGGAATTTCTATACATATTATCCGGAAGTATATAAAAATATTTGTTTTTAATTTTAAAATCTTCCGGAAAGTATTTTCCGGATTATCTAAAAATACAGAAATTCCGAAAAAACACATTCTTGTATTTCACTTTTATATTTTAATTTTAAAACTTGCCTCCGCTAATCGGAGGGTTGCCCTTGTACATTGACTGAACTTCATCCTCACTGAGAGGCTCGCCCCTTTTATTCTTCAAGATTTTCATTAAAGCTTCTTCCGTGATGAAACCAGACTATAAAAAATAATTTATATTTTCAAGAATTTTAAAATTTCTCTCAACTTACGTCAGACTTATCCCACATTTGAAAAGCTCCAACAATCGTTGCTTCTGGATCAGTTCCTTTAATAATTAAAATTTCTATCCGAGAAAGCCAAATATTTAAATTTACCAGTCAGTCTTTCACCAAACAAAGTCAAAAACACCGTAAAGTTAATTGGCCCCGGAGCTTCTTTCAACATTGCATCAATTTGTGACTCACTTGCAATACTTCCCAAAGTTGCATACAAATCTTTTAAATCCCCTTTACTTATAACTCCGTCTTTGTCTTGATCCATTATTGCAAAAGCTTCTTTAAATTCTTGAATTGTCTTCTGGTCAAAAGAGCTGGCTTCTGATCCGGTTCTAGACTTCTTTTTAACCTTCTTTACTTTCTTCTCTGACTGAAAGAAAAATGATAAATATAAAGGTGTTTTCCGGAATAATATGAAAATACTGTATAAAACACACCTAGAGAATATACTTTTCCGGAAAACACATAAAACAAATAATTTGTGTTTTCCGGTTTCTATTTCAAGGAAAATACATTCCGGAAGAACATAAAATACAAATAACTAGATAATATACATTTTCCGGAAAACACATAAAAACACATAGAAACAACCGGAATGTATATTAAAGGTATACATACATTTTCGGAAAATCTATTTACAAGGATTCCGGAAAATACAAATACGGAATATAACATTCTCCAGAAACTCATTTGCTTATTTAAATTTAATTTAAAAATAAATAAAATTGCTTACCATTTTTGCTATTTAGTAGAAAAACTTGAAGCCAAAAAGTTTTAATAAAACTAAGGATATGAAACAAGTGGAATGCTATAAAGCTTGGCAGTTGTGGGAGTTAGTTTACTTTAACAAAAAAATATTTTATAGTTGGAAATTCTTTAAGCTAAAAACTAGTTAAAGCTATGTGAGAGATAAAGCACTTTAAAATCTGTTGTTTCTAAAGGTAGAGAACAAAACAAAAATAATGGAGAGAAAATCCTGACAGATCACTAACGGACTTTTCTTTTACTAGCTTTAGTAAATCAACAACAGACTAGTCAATGTAATAAATAGGCACTTCCGGAAACACAAATATTCCCGTAATTATTTGTATTTTCCGGAGTTTTGTATTTTCCGGAAAATACATAATTTTAAAATACTCTTCTATTTTATTATAATGAAGTTTCCGGAAAACACATACATCTTTTTAATTGTTAATTTAGGTATGTATTTAAATAGAAGAGAATAAATTTTCCGGAAACATTTTTTAGTTGATTCCTCCGGAAGTAATATTGCATTTTATATGGTATTTTCCGGATATTGTATTTTTCTATAATATTGTATTTTCCGGAACGCTATAAGAATCCTATTGTTGAATACTCTTTTTAGTCCCCTATTGTTTTTATTTCCCCATTGTATTAAATCATAGTAGACGATTACTCTCTTTCTTCTCAGGCAAAAACATTAAACAGCCTTTCCTCGAATAAGCTTAGAAAACAACGACAGGTTTGAGAAAATGATATGAGTGAAGAGAAAAAAAAGCGGAGGCGGATCAAGCAACTAAATAAAATTGAAAGGATTTTTAAGTACTAGAAAATAGAAGAGGAAAGCAAAGTCGACAACTGGCAGACTAGTCTCTTTGGAACAAAATTCTTTGTGAACAAAAAGTAGAAACATAGCTAACAATAAGCTAGAGAGGATATTTAATAAAGACGAGATCAGGCAAATAATGAAGCAGCCCTCTTATTCTAGCTATTGATCAGTTATTCTCGTTAATTAAAGACTTAAGTAAAGTGACACTTGGAAGAACAAAATAATATAGAGGTCTGTAACTCGGTACCTGTACGTCAGACCGGCTTCTTCCCCACTCGATCGCCGCTCGACGAGCTTTCTAAAATGACGTATAATTTGCAAAATCGAGTGATGGAAAAATTGGACAAAACGCCTAAAAGTGAGAACGGATAAGGCGTCAAAGGGAAGCTGAACAAATTACCGATAGACCAAAACAGGAAAGATGTCTAAAAAGGAATAATGGCCAGTGACAAAAAAGGAAGTAATGTCGTATCTAGAGACCGGACGGGGAATGTTGTACGAGAATCGAGATCGCGTCTCGGTCGGTCTCCAGTAGAAGGATTTGTTGGCCCACCTTATTTCGACAAATGAGCTGTCATTCAAAAGAGCAAGGCAAGCTGAGTCGATCGCGCAAAGGAAGAGGCTGAACGGACTTATAGGGACCGTGTTAGACCCCTGAGTATTGAAAAAAGAAGGGAGTAAGCTCATTTCCGTTGTGAAAAATCAGCCGAGTACTTATTGGTCCCATTTAGTTTATTATGTCAGGCATGGTTAAATCCTTCCTCGAGTTAACCGTACGGAGAGGCTATTATTTGCATCATTGAATTTTTCATCCCAAGATCAGCTACTTTTGTTTTCAGGAGTTTGTAAAACTCGGTCCGTGTACGTCCAACCGCCTTCTTCACCTCCCTCAAGCCAGCTCGACGAGCTCTTTCGAATGATGTATAATTGTGAAATCTGGTGGGCCAACAAAACCCCTATAAGTCACAATACCCACGGGAAGCAACAGGACGGAGATTTAAACATCGATAACGTAAAAAGGGGCAACACTTGAATTAATAAACGATTGTCAAAACCAAATAATCAAATTAATTTTCAAACCTAATTTCCTGAATTCTAACAAAAAATTTCAGCTCTTCAGTCACTTTTTCTGATGATTCTTGTTCTTCTAAACCATAGTCATCAAATAGACCTCTTTAAAAATTTGTACAGCTTCTGGATACTCTCACAAAGCTGAAAATTAAGTAATTGAAAAACTCTTAAAGATAAAAACAACCTATCAAAAGACCAACCATTCAAAACAAGCAAATCAAAGCATCTAACCAATGGACATTTGCTGTACGTCTTCTCATTTGACAAGAACTTGGGCACCATTTAATTGGCTTTAACATTGGGAACGGATAAACTCATTTAAGGGGGAAACCTTGCGTACAAAACTTGCGAATTTAATAAAGTAAAAAGCTAACCATGTAGACGAGAGCATTGGAGTTTAATCGATGCACATTTGGAGTGAAGATCGCCCAGCGATCTCCGAAGAGATCACTGGTGCTTTTTTGCCCAGCGATCTCCGAAGAGATCACTGGTGCTTTTTTGCCCAGCGATCTCCGAAGAGATCACTGGTGCTTTTGTTGTTGCTGCTGCTGAAGTGTTGTTTGCCCAGCGATCTCCGAAGAGATCACTGGTGCTTTTGTTGTTGCTGCTGCTGAAGTGTTGTTGCTGCTGCTGAAAAAATGGAACACATTTTTTCAAAAATTGAAACAATGCAAGTCTTGTCCGCAAGTCATCACTCCCCACCCCTCAAAAAAGTTAATCCCCAAAAAGGAAAAAGCCATGCTCCCTATTGAAGACCATTTTGCTGTAAATGGGCAACAGAACACTAGATGAGTCATCAAAAATCGATTATTGATTTTTGGGATGAAGTGTCATTTATTCTTAAGGTTTTGCATTATGCCAAACTTATAAAATATGAATAAATAATTTTTTCTATCACCCAAAATTTTTAAATAAAAAAATGAAATTTTTAAAAAGTAATTTTAAAAATTAAAATGTAATTTTCAATTAAAATTAAATAGGTATATAGTAAAATTTATTATATTATGGGATATTTTTAAAATATTAATGTAAATGAAGAGGGCCGATAAATTTTTAAATTTCAAATAATTTTAAAAAAAAATTAGTAAATCCTCTCTAAAATTAAAAAAAAAATTTCTTCTAATTTATCGGCCCTAAATAAAATTTTTTTTAAATTTATAGGAAAAAGAGAAAGAAAAAAATAAGGAAATATGCCTGAAAATAAATTGATATATTATCAAAAATTTCTAATTCTTAAAAGAAACAAAATTTGTTTAAAAAAAGAGGGGGGAAATTAAAATTTAGAGGAATTTTCTATAGGAAAATAAATTTAAAAGGCAAATAAAAAAATTTTTTTAAATTGGGAGGCAACGGGAATTTTTTTATGATTTGTTTTGGTGAGGCAACGGGAAAATTATTAAATATTATACTTTTTTTTTGGTTTTAAATAAAATTCTTTAAAAGATCTGTTGACACACACAAACTACTCTTTAGAAGACTCTTCCTCCTTTTTACGTTGTTTTTCTTCCTTTTCTTCATTTTTATTTTTTTCTTCTTCCTTTTCTTCTTCTTTTACCTCTTCCTCATTCTTCTCTTCTTCCTCCTCCTCCTCCTCTTTTTCAAATATTTTTCGTACTTTTGCCAATTTTTCTGTTGAAGGCACCTTTGTTGGATGTGTATTTAATTCACATAAACGCCTATCTCTTGGATCACTCCAACCTCCATTTGGTTTTGAAGGTTTTAACATTCTTTTTCCAACTTGATTTAAAGTTAATTGAGCAGGGAAAAATGAAGAATTGTGTTGAAGAAAAAGATTTCTTTAGAAAAAAAATTTATCCAATTAAAAACCCCCCAAGAAAAACACTTACAAAGCAACATTAACAGCTTTATCAACTTCACAATTATGTGTATGTACACCACAATCACCAATATGTATTACACGTGGAGCTTCAGCATAAATTACCCGTAATTTACTTGGAAGACATTTTACACTTAATTGCATTAATGTCCAATCCCAATTATAATCATCATAATTACAGAAAAACTAGAAAAAAAAATAATTTTTTTTATTTAAAAAAATTTCTGCCTACTATACTCTAATATACTCTTTAGTTAATATAAACAACGAGATACTTTCCGGAATAGAAATACAATATTAATGTTTTCCGGAATTTAAATAAAAATACATGAATATAAATAGCTTCCGGAACAACAATATAAGCTTTTCCGGAATGAAAATACAGCAATATAAAATTATCCGGAATTTGTTGTATCCTTTCCGGAATTTAAATAGGAAAATACAAGAAAATACAATAGTTTCCGGAAAACTAAAATTGTATTTTTCCGGAAACATATATATAAATAGAAAAACAGAAATACAATAATTTCCGGAAAAAATACTTCCAGCATAAAAAAATACATGTATTTTCCGGAATGTATTTTATTTAATTTTATACTCCCCCAAAAATACCAAAAGGGAATAATTTTAAAATATAATTAATTTAACCTCCTTACATTTGAACAATTTTCGCTTCTAATTTTCTCCCATAAATTCTTTCCAAATATTAACCCCATATTAAATTTACTGCTAAACCAAAATTCGGCTCCCAATTTATCCAAATTATTTCCATATGTATTAAATGATTTTGGGTATGTTCCAAGACATAAAAGTTCACAATCAGGGAAAACTCTGAGAAAAAATTTTTTTCGTAAATTAAAAAATTTCTTTTACTTTGCTCTTTTCTTTTCCATTAAATTCAAAACATAAATAAAATCAGGTGCTACCAAATGATCTTCTTCCAATAAAATAAGCAATTTTTCTTCTAGACCATATGCTGGCAAAACAGAATCAAAGAGAAAATTCATCTGAAAAAATTCTGAAAATTAGAGAAAAAATTTATTTTAATTTTAAATCAATTTCAAACCCCCAATAACCCCCAAAACTTAAATTCAAAAATATTTCATTTTAATTCTCAAAAAAAAAATTTTCCAAACCTTCCACCACCAATGATGTTTTATTTGTGTTAATTTTGGATTTCTATAATGTCCACCAACATCAGAAAATTCTTCACCCAAACAATTAGTTCCCTTAGCTCTTAAAAAATTATTTAAAAATTAAAATTTAATTAAAAAAATACTTTTCTTTATTTGTAGTTGATGAACAATCTTCTGGACTTTCGCCTGGGAAGACATTTGGGAAAAGTTGGAAAGTATATGGAAAGAATAATTGGATTACCTGAAAAAATAATAAAATAAAAAAATTTTACCAAGAAAAGGACAAAATGTCCAAAAATAAAAAATGGACATTTTGTCCCAAATTTAAAAAAGACAATTCATCCAAAATAAAAATTGGACAAAACGTTCAAAATAAAACGTCCAAAAACAAACCCCCTTGCCCCCGCCTTCAGCAAAAAAATCCTGGTTAATGGACATTCAAAATAAAAAAACTGGACAAATGTACAAAAAAGAAAAATCGGACATTTTGTCCAAAACAGAAAAAAATGGCAGAACGTCCCTGAAAAAATTCGACAAAATGTCCTCAAAAATAAAATTTCCCTCAAAATAAAAATCCAAACCCTGCAAAAATTAATTGACTGAATAATAGCATTAATAGGTGCAGATATCATATCATGCGTAAAAACCAAAAGTGTTTGTTCTATTCCTTTTGCTCTAGATAAACTTCCAATTAAATATTTGAGGTAATCTATTCGATTATGGACCTGAAAATAAAAATTTTTAAATCGAAAATGATTCAAAAAAACCTGTACAACAACAACATATTTAATGGTAGCAGAATTTAAAGGGCCAAAAAGCTGAGCGTTAAGTACTTCGTGGTTTTCGTTTAGAAACTTTAAAAAATTTGGAAAATTTTAAGGGAATATTGAGATTTTTAAAAGTCTATATCTGAATTAAAATTGTAATCTATTGAACAGGGCAGGGGGTTTCCGTTTCCAGAAATATTGAACGCAAGGGCGTATTTGTGGGTTAAATCTCAAATAAGCTAGAATGGCGTATGCGGCAAAACGCTGAAGTTCTCCCGAGATTTTTCCTTTAAACAATTCCGGGTGGGAGATTTCCAGATCACTTATTGTTAGGATATACCTCCCAACAAGATCATCGAAAAACATCTAGGATTTAATATTTTTCAGTTATTTAGTACACTGCCTCTCCGGTATCTAAAAATCAACGGTCCATAGTTTCTAAAAACTGAAAAACACCAGCCCAATTCAATCAATGTCAGGTACAGAAAAACCCCTAGCCAGCTCTAAAACTAATTTCCCCCATTTCAAAGTTAACAAGAATTCCAAAAAAATCTCTGAAAAAAACCTGAATTGAATATAATGCTTTATTTGGATCCACAATCGAAAATTTATGGAAGATAGCATCAGCATTTTCTATTTGAGATTTTGAAGAAGGCAGTGTCCAACTTGCATTAAGCAGAAATTCTTCTCTTTCCAAACTTTTTCTTCTTTCTTCTAAATTCTCCAAATTTTTGTAGGGAGTTCCGCGTGGTTGAAACCTTTCATTAACTGTTAGCCTTTGCGAGAGTGAAATATACAGAAGTGAAAAGACGAACAAAAGGATCTGGAAAAGGGAAAAAAAGAATTTTTTTGAATTTTTTTGAACTCAAAAAAATCGAAAAAAATGCTAAAGAAATTGATTTTTGATTTAATTTTTATTTCATATATTTACATTAAAAATGCAAAAATAAACAAACATTCGACTAAAAATGTCGTAAAAATTTTTTTCTTAAAAAGTGAAGTTTAATAGTAAAAATGCTGTGATTTAAAGGTGGTAGTTTTGTTTCTAAACCGATTTTGATAAATATAAAGTTACTCAAAAAGCCTCGAAAAAATGAGAAGTCCAAGTATGGGAAAATGAGACGGACAAGTCTGTCCTACAAATCGAGGATCAATCGAGGACTTGTTTCCCTGCTAGAAAGACACTTCTTTTTTTCGAAGCCTTCCGAATGCTCTAACATTTGTAAAAAATCAGTTGAGGATAAAAAAAGTGTCCGAGCTAAAAACGGTCGAGACCGGGCTCATCCGATAGAGAATGTGCCCTTTCTAGCTCGAACACCTCGCAACCTTCCCTAGTTAAAATTAAAATATCAAGTCCCAAAGGAACTTATAAATAAAATTGGCCTTATATTTTTCTTAAAAATTGTTCTAAAAAATTTTAAAAATTTGATAAAAAATTTTGGCTTAAAAAATATAAAAGTCCCCTTCCCAACTACTAAAAAAGCCCAAAAAAATAAAGAAAAAAAATAAACAAAACAAACCGATGAAGCAAAAATAGCACCAGATGCACGTCGTAAATGTCGACGCAATTTAACCATAAAACTCATCTTTTATTATTCAAAAAAAATTTTGTAGACAAATAAATAATAAAAATTTTTGTTGTTTTTTGAAAGAAATAAAGGTAGAAAGAAAGAAGAAAAATATTCTTTATGCAATTCTTTTTAAATAAAAGTTGAAATAATTTTTTTTAAAAATAAATTCTTCACATGTTGTTCATTTTGCTGAAAAATAAGAAAATTTATTTAAAAAATTTTTTTCCCAAAATTTGGTTAAATTTTTAATTAAGTTGTCTTAAAAAAATAAAAGTTTAAAAAATAAGGGTTTTTTGAATTTTGTCATGGCCACAAAAATAGTGGCAACAAGTCTCCCTCACAATACCATGTCTTTATCAACTAGATAGACATAACACCATAATAATTAATTTGGGGAGAAATTAGGGAGAAGATTAAAAGGGGACAACAGATAAAATTCAAAATTACCGGAGAATAAATTCCTAAAAAAATTTTTTATTTTTTGAGAAAAATGTTTGATTTTCTCAAAAATTACTTAAACAGAAAAATAATAAAAATAATCAAATACCCAACCTAAATAAAATTCGTTTTTAAAAATTAAAAAAAAATATAAACTACAAAATACCCTATCAAAATTACCCAAAATTTATTTAGAAAATTTAACGTGGCAAATAAAAAGATTAAAATTAAAAAAATAAAAAAGCGTACCGAAAAATAGAGAAAAAAAAACAAAAAATTGAGTAAATCTTTTTCATTCAATAAACTTTTCAAAATATCTAAAAATAAAAATTTTCTCAAAATTCCCAAAAAATTTCTTAAAAGCCTAAAATTTCTAATAGAATGCCCAGACATTCTATTTCTCAATCACCTTTAAAGGTGCCGTTCTATTAGAGAGGGTATTCTATTAGAAAGGACATTCTATTGGAGAGGGGCATTCAACTACCAAAGGGGCGTTCTATTAGAGAGGGGCGTTTTATTAGAGAGGGGTGTTTTATTAGAGAGGGGCGTTTTATTAAAGAGAGGGCACTCTTTTTTAGAGAGTAAGGGAGCTTAAAACATTTTTATTTTAATAAAAAAATAGTAAAATTCTCCAAATAAAAAGCATTAAAAAAGGTATAGATCGTACATATTTGTGTATATTCATAAAACAGTGATATAAATTTGCTCACTGTACAAACATTTTTTTCAAAAAATTCTTTTTATAGAAGAATTATTTTTGGAATTAAAAAAAAAGTTTTTTTAAAACAAACAAACTGTTTAAAATTTTGTGACGTTTTGGGTCTGTGGCAAAATGTCCATTGACGAAAAATTTAATTAAAATTGGGAGAGATTGTCTCTCTTCATTTTGTGTAGTCTCTAACCGATGATTTTTTATTTTTGTCACAGCTTCTAATTTTTTCCAATTTTCAGATTTAATTTGTCATTTAATTTATTCATTCTTCTACTTAACAATGTCAACACCTTCTAGACGTCGTTTAATGAGAGATTTTAAAAAATTACAGGTTTCTCCCAACAATTTTTTTCAAAAAATTAAAAATTTCAATTTTAAGGATGACCCTCCTGCTGGTGTTAGCGGTGCGCCTACAGAGGTTTTTCTAATAAAAATAATCATTAAATCTACTTTTAGGAGTCCATAATGCATTGGGAAGCTGTCATTTTTGGACCACAAGATACTCCTTTTGAGGATGGCACTTTTAAACTTTCGCTTGAATTTTCTGAAGAATACCCAAATAAACCGCCACAAGTCAAGTTTGTTTCAAAAATGTTTCATCCTAATGTATATGCTGATGGGAGTATTTGCTTGGATATTTTACAGGTTTTATTTAAATTTGGGGGAAATTTTGGTCGAAAAAAGTCTTTCTGCCCCAAACGGCTCTAACTTTCCCTCTATGAGAAAATAGTTATTTTCATGGTTAATCTAATAATCAACTTGAGGTGCCTGAGGTCTCTATTGTACTTTTTTTAGATTTTCAAAATATTTTACCCTAAGCGGATTCGAACCTTCCATCCCTTTTTTCCAAAAACTCCACTTAACCAAAGAATTCAATATTTTAATTCACAGAACCAATGGTCGCCAACTTACGATGTTGCTGCAATACTTACTTCAATTCAATCCTTACTTGATGAACCGAATCCAAATAGTCCTGCAAATTCACAGGCAGCCCAGCTTTACAGAGAGAATCGTAGAGAATATGAGAAACGTGTTCATGCAATTGTTGAACAGGTTTAATTTAAATTTTTGGACATTCCGCCCTCCCTAGTTTAAGTCTCAAAGTTTTCCTTAATATGTACATAATGGTCATTTTAAAATGCCCCAGGGAAATTGAGTGGGATTGAGGAAGGAAAAAGTTTGGGGTAATAGAGCTGTTTACAGACTATACTTTTTCCTGTTTTGTAGAAAATGGTCAGACTTTTTCCTTTCTTTTTCTTTTCTCCATTCCAATCAAACTAGGAGAGTTGCAAAAAGTTCCTTAAATTCTATTTGAAAATTAAATTCTTTCAGTCTTGGATGACTTTTTCAAATGACGATTCAGACGAAGCTGTAGACCAATTAGAAACTGCACGTGAAGATAACGAATCTCCACACACAGCAGCTGAATATGAAGTTGGTGGGGAAGAAGAAGAAGGAGTTTTGGATGTAACACAAAGTTCGTTTCATGAAGAAAATGATGAGGATGAGGAAGAAGAAGGGGAATTAAGAAATAATGATACTGATAATTCTGTGGAACAAGACTGATTTTGGAGTATTTTAGGTATTTTTTAAATTTGTGTATAAGAAAAGCTTGATTTGTGGGGACTTTTGGAACAAAAAAAATTTTTTTTTAAGTATCAGTTCAATATTTAGTCGTTTCATACTTGGATCAGGGATGGTCCGCTTCCGCCTTCCGCTTTTTAAAATTGAAAATTCTCCGTCCCTGCTATGAAGGGATGGACCTGGACCCCGAAAAGGTTCTCCCTGACTGGATCAATCCTAGTATAGAACGACTGGACATGGAATTTATGACTTAAAAAAAATTTTTTTAGAAAATTATCAGTCCCATACCCACTCGTTCCATACTCTTCTGTGCATCTTTTCTTTGAAAAATAAATTCTCTTTTATTTTTAAAATTTATAAGATTGTAAAAAAAGACAAAAAATGTTCCCCCTTTAAATTAAAAAAAATTATTTTTGTCAAAAAAAATTTTTTTCTCGATTTATTAAAAATAAATATTATAAAATAAACTAACAACAAAAAATAATCTAAAAAATAAAATATTAAAAACATTACATGTTCCATTAAATTGATATAAAAAATCTGCTGGCCAAAAAGGAATTGAGTTGGCTGATTTATTGTAATATTCTCTTTCTTCTACAAATTGTTCTGAAAATTAAAAATAAAATCAGAATTTGTAAAACTTAAATATTTATGTGTTTTGTAATTTTTAAGTTTATTTTTTACAATTTGTAAAAATTTATTTTTAATGTGAAAAGTAAAAATAAACTTGGAAAAATAAATAAACTTTTTTTAAATAAACTTTTTTACAATTGAAAAATAAACTCTTTTACAATTTGTAAAAAAAATAAACTTGGAAAAATACAACTTATTTTTACAATTTGTAAAAAGTTGTATTTTTAAGGTTGTAATATTCCGGATTATATTCCATTCCGGAAGCTATTGTATTTTTCTTTTTTATTATACCTTCCGGAAAAATACAAATATTTTCCAGAAAGCTAATATATTCGTGTATTTTTCCTGCATTTTTAAGGTTGTAATTTTACAATTGTAAAAATATAAACTTTTTTTTACAAACTTAAGTTTTAATAACTGTATTACCCTTTCTCCCCATTTTTAATTCTTCTTGCTGTTCAACTTGTCGCCTAAGCGGCGTTCCTTCTATTCTAGTTGCGTGTTTTTGTTTATTTCTTTTTACTAAAAAATTGGAAATTTTTTAGAAATAATTTTAAGTTTTACATTTTTGTGTAGATATTTTTGTAAAAGTTTTGTCCTCTTCATTAATTAATTTATTAACTTTTTGGGTAATATCTTGAAGATTTTTGCCCAAGTCTTCTTTATTTGAATCCTGATGGTTGTCTGCTGAAAAGATTTTTAATTTTTTAAATTATTCTTGGAGGGTGAAAAATTTTTATCTTATAATGAGTGGTATCTTATATGGAGGGTATCGTTTATAATGAGAGGTATATGAAAGAGAGAGTCGCTTCTAATGAGGGTTACAATAAGTGGAGAGTATCGCTTGGGTCAGCTTCCCAGTCCCAGTGGGCAGCCAAATTTTAAAAGTACCTTAAATTGAAAGTACGTAAAATCGAGGTTTGACTATACATCTCACCAAATCCCCCCATAAATCTTTTCTTACCCCTCTCAATTTCTTCAAAAATTGTTGGCTGTTTCCTTTCATAAATACAATCCGGACATTTGCATTCCTGTGCCCTATCAAATGTACATCGATATTGAGTATCCTGTGGGATTTGTGCCAATTCGGAAATCAAAGTTTGGTTGTTTAATAAATTTGAATGGGAAATGCAACGGGTGGATCTGTGTTGATTTTTGTTAATTTTTAGAAAAAAATATTTTTGCTCTCCACCTTTTCAACAAAGCCTCCCTTCCCCAATACTGCTCGTCACGACTTAAACAATAAATTAATGAATCTGGTTCCCATTCAGCACAATCCCGAGGGTCTTGCGAACAACTTTGAGTTAACCCACGTATTTGAACACAGTAGGAGCACTTCTGGAAAAATAAAAATAATTCTGATTTTGTACAGAAAAATGGTCAGACTTCGTTTTTAGATACCCTTCTAGGGATTGAAACTGTGCCTTATAATGAAGGGTATTTTAAAGTGAGAGGTATTTAGGGGGTATTTATTATTTACTCAGCTCCTCTCATCCAATAAGACAACTAAATTCATGAACCTATCTTAAATTGAATGCCTTTTGGAGGTACCTTATAAAGAGACCCTATGTTCTTTTAAAGCTCCTCTCACCCTACAGCCAACCTAATTAAAGAAAAATTACCTGAATGTCTGGAGAAGGCCTAAAATCCAAAGATATTGCCAATAAACAAAGCAACGAGCACGGGGTTGTCATTTAAATATTTTTCCTCTTTTTTATTGCAAAAAGCAATTTGACAGATGAATGAGCGGAAGCAAAAAAAGAGAATTTGTAGAAAAGGAAGAAAAAAATGTCAAAAAATTTAACTATTATGTAAAATGCGCAGCAAAATTTCAAAAGCAATTATTCAATAGAAATGGGCGAAATTTTCAAAAAATAAAAGTTGGTCAAAATGATGCTCAAAATCATCTCCCTTCCCTTCCTTTATTTTTTTAAATTGACTAAAATTGCTGAATCTTTTGTATTTTTAAATGGAAATGTGCTTCTTTAAAGAATCTTTTTAGGTCAGATTTTAATTAAAATTCTGATTTAATGAATTAATTGAAGAAAATTCTGTTTTTATTTTCCAAGTTTTTTTAAACAAAAATTCTGGTTTTGAAAATAATTCTGAAGGTTATAAAATTATTCCGGAATATACCATTATTTTTTCCGGAAACTTTTCAGGAATTTCTTTTACGGAATGTACATATTTTGTCTTTTCAATAATCCTTTCCGGAATGTATTTTTCCGGAATATATGTATTTATTTTTTCTGAAATCTTTTCCGGAATTTACTCTCATTTCCGGAATTTCTCTAATCTTTTCCGGAATGTATTTTAATTATACAATCTTTTCCGGAATGTATTTTAATTATAATATTTCTTTCCGGAAAACATTTTATGTATTATTAGTTAAGTTGAGCAACTCATTTTTAAATTAAAATACCGGAAGCAGTTAAAAAAATTAAAAATGGGGAAAATTCTCTTTGAGGTCAAAATTTTAGTACAAGTTAAATAAATGATGGACGTGTGTATTTAATCTCCCTTCCTTCCTAATAAATTAATCCCCCATTTTTTACACACAATTGGTCGTTATTTTTTTCCTAACGAAAAAGGAATTTAAAGAAAATACCCCAAAAATAATTACGTATATTTTTTGATTGTTATGCTTTAAAGGCAGATGAAATAGGAAGATAAAAATTTAGAAAAAATTTTTGACGGAGAAAAAAATTTTTTGGCGGAAAATTTTTTGGGTTTTTGGGGAAATTTTTTTCTGAAAATTTTTTTAACTAATTAAATATAATCCTTCCCCTCTCTATACCCCTATTGTTTGCACTTGCCTTTAAGCTCCTTTTTTTTATTAAATTTATTACACTATAATATTTTTGGTCAAACTATATATTTTTTAGAAAAACAAAAAACACCAATTACTCTCTTAATAAATCAAATTGTAAAAATAAACTTAGAAAAAAAAGAAAATTAGTCACACGTTAAAAATTTGGGGAGGAAAAAAACTTTTAATTATTTAAAAATAAATAAAATAAAGGAAGAAGATCTCTAAAAAAATATTTTTCTATTTAATAAAATTTAATAATTTTGGGCAATCTCCTTAATATCTCAAAAAAATATTAAAAGAAAAATGTAAACAGCTTTTTTTATTATTTATTTTTTGGATGATTTTTTATACATTGTTTTTATTGGGGAAAATATGTAAATATTTTAGTAGAATAAAAGACAGCTGGCGCGCATAATAATAATAATCAAAAAAAGAAAATTATTTTCCCCAATTTTTTATAAATTTTAGATACCCAGAAAAAAATGAAAAAGAAAAGAAAAAGAAATTGGGGATCAAACTCGCAAGAAACTTCAAAAAAATTTTTCAAAACGTTTGTTTCGAGTTCGACTAGGATTTAATATAAAAAAGTATATTTTCTTTTAATTAGAAAAAATAAAAAAATCTCTTAAAATCCCAATAATATTTTAAAAGGTTTTTTGTTAAATATGTATATGTTTTTTTTGTTAAATATGTATATGTTTTTGTTAATTTTTTTAATGCTAAGGATTTTAATCCGTAGCGACATAGCTGCAGATAGGGTAGCTGCAGATAAAAAAATCTGCAGATAAAATCCGTAACAACAATGCTAAGGATAGGTAGCTGCAGCTACGGATATTTTTATCTGCAGATACCTAGCTGCAGATAGGTAAAATAAGTGAAAAGTATAACTATTAAATTTTTTGTGCACAAAAAGTTGTCATTTGGTATAGTGGTTAGTGGTGTTGTCTTATGTTTTAAATGGTAAGGGTTCGATTCCTTCCTATTGTTATAGGAGGAAAATTAAAATATTTTGCATTAAAATTTTTGTTTTTTAATTTTAAAAATACATATGTATATGTTTTTGTTAATTTTTTTATTTTAATTAAAAATTATTTTTATTATCCAATTATCAATAATTCTATTCTTACCTTTCTACATACATTCCAAGGATCGCGCAGACCCGATTCACTATTCCGAAAATCGTAAAATTTTCGACGATTTTTGGCTCGTGAAAAACTCGCGAATTTAAAATTTAAAAACTCGTGAATTCAAATCGTGAATTCGAAATTCTCGTGAATTCACGTTCCCATTCACGACATTTTTTCTGAAAATCGGGAAAAAATCGTGAATTTGTATTAATTATTGGAGCTAAAAACTGAAAAAATATGTGACTTGGACTTTAAAAATTCTTCAAATTTTTGCCTACGTCGCTGAAAATGGAAGAAATCTGGCTGCTTGAGCTCCAAATTTCAGAAAATTTTCACCTGCGGCGCTGAAAATGAACAATTATGAGATCTAATGATTTAGAGAAATACCTCCAAATCCTACGTAATCCCACGGTATCATTAGCTTTTTACATATTTCCTAATTTCGGTATCCTTCCAGACTGCCCTCATAATTCACTAAATAACACGGTTATCCCTCTTAATCCTCTGATATCATCGATATCCCCTTAATCCACCCAAATCCTTTGAAATAATATATTTCATTGATTCTCCACCCGGATAAATTCCCCAAATTAACATACATATATTCGAAAAACCTCGCATAGATTTTTCGAACTTATAGGAATTATATGAATCTCAATTATAGGAATCTCAAATCCCTTTATCTCTGTAAATCCTTTATCAATCCTTTGTCAAATCGTTTTATTTACCCTTTAATCCTTTATCCTTATGTCTTGCGTTTTTATGTGAACGTAGCGATAGAAATGGTTCGGAACAACCTTAGGAAACTGACAGCCGACTAAAAAAATAGGATCACATTTCAATAATTGTTTAAAAAATTTTTAAACTTTTAAATCCGCAATTGTCAAATCCGGAATTGGAGATCCGATACTCCAGAAGCCGGGTATTTAGATAAAAACCGGATTCTTTGTATTTTGATCCAGAGAATCGGGTCCGGATATAATATTTGAAATTCGGAAACTGGATCCTCCTACCTCGGTCTACTCTAATCTATAGCAAAGTTTAGTATTGTGACTATGTATGTGCTTTTAACTTATATAAATAATTTTGAAATCAAGATAAAAATTAAAATTAGAGTAGGAAAAATAGGGGGTAATTATTCGAGGGAGGGTAATTATTGTTTCGATCTCTCGCTGGAGTGGGTAATAAAAGCAGGTGGGGTAATTATTCGAGGGAGGGTAATAAATACAGTATATAATAATAAATACAGTAATAAATACAGTATATTTTTTTAACGAAAAAATTACATTATATTCTAACTTTTTAAAAAGTTGAAATTAGCATGATAATTACAAATTACAATTACATATTTTTGGATAATACATAGGATTTGCTTTATGTTTTGATGTAAAAAATAATTTTTTGTCACATTTAATTTGTAATTTTTAGGCCAATTTAAATTTTTTAAAAAGAAAAACTTAATGTTTAATTTAGAAAATAACTCGTTTTTGCAAAGTCTTTTTAAACAACTTAAAAAAATTTTGTTCAAAGAAAAAGGTAACAAAGATTTATATTATGCTTTAAAGCATTTTTTGAAAATTAGAATTATTTTATTCCATATTTTTATCTTGATTTAAAAAATTTTTACTATAAAATTTAGAATTAAATTAACGGAATTTTTTTAAAAGGCATCGAAAAGTCTCATTTTTCAAATTTAATTTTTTGACGAAAAAATGTTTAGAAATGAAAATTAATTTATTTTTAACTAAATTCTTTTTATTCTGAATTTTTAATAATTTTTTAAAATTTATTATAATTTTTTAAATATTTAAAATAATGCAACTATCCTCCTAAATAGGAGGATAGCGATTTTATCTGTAGCTACCCTAGCCGCTACCCTATCCGCTACCCTATCCTTAGCATTGTTATTATGGATGGGTATCTGCAGCTAAAGCTACCGATTTTTTTCTACTTTATCTGCAGATAGTTTTACGGATTTTAATCCTTAGCTTTGTTATTACGGATTTATCTGCAGCTAGCGATTTATCTGCAGATAGTTAGCATTGTTTTTACCAGCAACAGACACACACACGTGTTAAATAATTATTTTTATTTTACACGCAGCGGGAAAATCATTCGCTTTTTTCACTAAAAATATTTTTTTGAAAAATATTTTTATTTGTTTTACCAAAAAAACAAAAAAAAACAAATGGAGAAGTTCTTGTGTTCCTTTTTGAATCCGTTTTTTAAAAATAATTGTTTTTAAAGATTATGGAAGTTTAAAAAATTTTTTTTCAAAAGAACTCAAAAGATTTTGACTTTCAAAAAAAAAGAAAATTAGAAAAAAAATATTTTATGGCGCTAAATTGGCAAAAAAAACGTTGTATATATTATCAAAATGAAGAAAAAAAAATATTGGATAGAGAGAGGAATGTCTTGACAAAGTCTTTGGGAACATTTAAAAAATATTTAATCTTATAATTAATGCATGGATGAAATTTTGAGAGGAAAAAAACTTGTTTTTTTATGAAAATTAAATGAGGAATATTGAAAAAAAAACGTTTTGAGTATTCAAAGAAAAAAGTTGTTAAATAAAACTAAAAGTCTCGAAAAAAAAATTATTTTTTTCCTTCAAAAAATTTCACCCAAGCAAATAATCAAAAGTTTCAGATTTAATTAAATAGCCCTAATACCTAAGTATTTTTAAAATTATATTATTAAAATTATATATCACCTCATTTTCTCTTGAAATTATGTCTCATCTTTTACACAATCAAAATAATTTCTTCCCTCAACAACGTGTCTCATAAAGTCCAGATCTTCCAATATAACGAACCCATTTAACTACTTCATGGTCGGAATAACCCAATTTTGGTTCAAACACTTTCAAATAACGAACTTTCAAACCAGACGGAGCAAATGGAACCTTTTGAAATTTTTTTTAATTTCCACAAAATTTTTAAAATTTTTCAAAACCTCAAAATTCATAGAAACAGGTGGTCGATTCCACTTTTTCTTTTCAGCTGTTCCAGTGTTGAGTAAATCAATTTCAGCAGAAATTTGTGATTCTTTCATTCCTCCCATTCGTTTTATCCTAAAAAAAATTAAAAAAAATTCTTGAAATTTTTTTCGAAATGGTAATTTCAAAAGATCCAAATTTTCGCAAATTTTTAAAAAATCTAAAAAAAATTCTCTTACTTCCAGCAAATACAATTCTCTCCAGCTTTGTATTTAGCCTTTCCTTTCATACAAATAAGTTGAACTCCACTAGTATTTGGCGGTGTTGGGATACGAACTTCTATTTTTTGGGCAAGTAAAGAAGGTTTAAAGTTGGATTTAATGACTACCTAAATTGAAAAAAATAATTTTTATGAGAAAATAATTTAAAAAACCTTCACTTCCATTTTATTTCGAGAAACTTCTCTTACAAGAGGAATAACTCGAAAAGGTAATTGAATGTCTTTTGTAGTTCGATATCTTAAATTTTGGATTAAAAATTAATTTTTTAATCAAGTGTTCTAATAGAAGCCCAACTCCGCTAGAAATTGGGCTAATTGAAAAATTAAATGTTATTATAGAAGCCCATTTCCAATAAAAACCCAACCCTATTAGAGACTATTAACGACAATGAAAAATATATGCCCACAACTTCTATTACGACATTTTTAGAGAAATTAAAAACCTCATCAATTCATATTCCCCATCTGGCGGTATAAAACTTATTGCGTGTTCTGTATCGAATTTGGTCAGTTTAACACACTGGTGGAATTGACAATCATCTATTGCTACTGAAGAACGATTTCTGAAAATTTTTTCAAAGTAAAAATGCTCTACTACATTTTTTGCCTCTTTTGGTTAAGTGGTATATTTGTAAAAATAGGTGACGGGGGTTCGAACACTTTTGGGGTAAAATAATTTCTTTATTCAAATTTAATACAAATACAAGGTTCTTAATTATAGGAAGGCTTTTTAAATGAAAAAATTAATTTTTAAAAATATTTCCCCTACTTAAATTAAAACACAAACGATTTATTAGGTTCTTCACTTCCAGCTCGCCCCTTCCCTTCAATCGTCAACTTGTCATTAATTCCAAATTTACATTCAGGCATTCCACTCAAATAAGATTTCATTGCCACTTTGCCGGCAACATGTGCAGAAAGGACTTGGCCTGAAAATTAAATCTGAAATATTTTATCTCACTTGGTTAAGTGGTATTTTCATAAAATATATGATGGAGGTTCGAACCCTTTCGGGGTAAAATAATTTTTTCTTCAAAAAATCTTTGAAAATTAATCAAAAAATGAAGTTAAGAACCTTGTTGACTCATCAACAAATTTACATATTCAATAACATCCAAAAATAATTCATTTCTTCGATATTTAATGCCTTCACGTCGCCACCCAATTTGTCCAGTAACTTGAGACGTTATTTGAGCTTGTTCTTCTTTTGTCTAAAAAAATAAATTTTAGGAAATTTTTTAAAGACTGTTAACCGCTGTTCGCACTCCTTGTTGTGTAATGAATGTTTTGAGAACACCAGGGTCTGTATTTTGAGGGTAACCAAAGTCAAGTATTTCTGAAAAAAGATGTGAATCATTAAAGCTAAAATAAGGGAGGTAAAAGTCCAGCTCAGAGCAAGCATCGATCCTTGACCCCTGGGAATTATTGCTAGGCGTTTTAATTCACTCCAAATACGCTCTACCGCTAAGCTATCGGAGCATTGCTTCACCCCCTTTGATGGAAGGTGAAAACTTTTTAGCTAGATCTTTCCTCCCTACTTTAATTTTTAATTTTAAAAAATCCAAACCGTCCAGCAATTCATAAATTAACACAAAATTGTTTTTAACATTTTCTTCATTCAATTTTCCAAAATATGACTGCATTGTATCAGCAAACCTATTCATAAATTCAAAAACCATTGAAGCACAAATATTGTGTCGAGTAACAGCACATATCCAAACATTTCCTCGTTTAATATGGAAAAAGGAAGTACGCGCCAAATTGGTGACTGGGCTACGAATCTATCAAAAAGAAAAGAAGTTCAAAAATTTTCAAAAAAAAAACCTGTTGTCTAGCATGAATAACGGAAACTCGAAAAGCATCAACAGCATTACGATTAACATCATCTCGATAAATACGAGAAATGAGGACTTCTCCTTTGTGATTATAAACGAACAATCCACCAATCATTTTAAGTAACCGATGATGATTTAAAGGAAATTAGATACGAGAATTTAAAAAAATGAGAAAAAGCATTAAATGCTTAAATCAAAATAAGAATTAATTTTGAGAAGTAAAATAAATTATAAGGCTCATCATTTATTTTTTAAAAAATTATTTTGTTTGAATATAAAAAGAGCTCTTATGTAAATGAGAAAAAAATAATAAATTAGAACACAGCAGACCAACTTTCGGTGGTTCGAGAGGCTTTAATAACTTCGATAATCTCGAAAAAATCCTTTGAAATAAAAAGGCTATCTTAAAATTATGAAACAAAGTCTTAGCTTTGTTTTAAAACTGAATTTAGATTTTATAGGGCCAAATAAAACACCTTTATAAAATGAAAAACTAAGGGAAAAAATTCAGCTTAAAAAAATTATTTTAATTAAAAATAACATTAAATGTTAATTAGGAGGGATATGTTGAAATTTTCATTCGATAGAACTAATTTTCATTTAAGGGTTCGAACCTCACTTTTATTTCGCTTAAGACATGCGGTCTAACCAACTAATTGGAAGCTAAACTCCCTCACTGAAAGATGAGTAACAGCCTTTGCCTATTTTGATCTGCTGTGTAAAAATACAAAATTTATTTAAAAAAATTTTTTTTGTTAGTAGTACAGGAACAGCATCAAATGTCCAACACTTCTTTTTTAATGTTCAGGACGCATTAACTTCGAAGAACCCTAAAGAATTTTTAAAAATAAAAATTTATATTTAAGAATCTTATCCTATTCTTAACAAAAGAGATGAAACAAAAAAATTTATTTTTCATAAACAGTTAGAACTACACCCCCATGAACGCAAAATTTATAACTATACCTCATCACCAGCAGATTGTCTCTTCTCACCAACACGTTTAGGATTAAGTCCAACCTCCAGACATTTAGACCAACGACACGGAGCGCACTAAAATAGGAAGGAATGTTTAAAATATTCCATTAAAAGCAACTCACTCGGCGAAACAAATTTAATTGTTTACATTCCATGTTATATTGGCATTCATTAGATATAACACCACCTCTCTTAAGCACAACATCAATGAAGAACATCTGGTAATAATATTAATTTAGTATCCAAAATCTTTTTAAATTTTAATGAGCTTTCCCAACAAAAACTATTGATCGCGGAAAATCAAGATTAATTCATAAATATACTTACTCTACAAGGAGGACAAGTCATCACGTCCAAGTAAAAATCTGAAATTGGAACAAGGAGTTCAAAATATTAAAAATAAGATGTAAGAAATACTGTAAGCTTCAGGAAGTACGCAGACCGAACACGGATGAACCGGTTTAACAGGTGAAGAGGTTGGTTTTTTGCGTTTAACACTTTGAGATCCTTGACATGTGCAATCGGCGACGCGCTCGCTTAACTTAACTATAAGCTGAGCTTGCTCATCATAAAGAATCTCCAGACGAGAGATACGCCCTTGCATAGAAGATTTTCTTTGCTGAAAAATAAACAGATATATTTTGAGGGACTTATATCCATAGTACTCCGCGAACTAATCATGTTATCGATAAACATAAACTCGACGAGTTTCTAATGTCATATAATTCAACCCGATGGCGTTACGTATACTACAATTTCCCCAAAAAACTAAAATATTCTAGTTTACACAATAAATTAATAAAAAACCTGGCATAAGTTATTCAAACATTCTTCATCCAAAGAGGCTGCAACAGATGCAAGCGTTCCAAGTCTGTCTCCACCAGTGTCAATTCTATTGGCCATTATAATTGCTTGTTCAATCAAAGCTGTTTCCAAACGAGAGACTCGCTCTTGGAGAGCATTATATTTTTGCTGAATAATAAAACGGGGATAATTTTGGAATCCGAAACAAACGCCAACATGTTTGAATTATGTACATTAAAAGAGCTTGTAAAACAGTACCAAAATCTTATTCAGGGAACTATATCTAAGCCCAAGTAGAGTCGCTACCTAATTTTGACACAATCCCTCAACTCACTGAGCTCTTCGCACGGCATAAATAAACGTGGCTGGCGTTTGTCATATACCAGAATTTTTTCAATAAAGTTAAAAATATTTTACAAAAACCTGGCACTTCGGGTCACAACAAGTTTGATCCAAAGTCGAGCTTGAACCACAAGCCTCAGCAAGTGTTCCAACAGTTTCCTGTTTATTGGATGCCATAATTAATTAGTATTTATTTAAATAAATTAAATTAGTTTGAATATTCTAAAAAAATTTTAAAGTAAAACAACATAAAACCACTAACGATTTTTATCTTTGTTAAAGAATAAAGAGAATGGTGACTGGGGCTCGAACCGAATTAGAAACTAGTTTGTTTTTAAGTACAAATCGATAAAAGAAATATATGCAGTTTGTTTTCAAAACACTCCCTCAGTCAATAAATTAATAATGCTTTGATACGGAATTTTTAATATTCAAGTTATTTAAGTCAGAAACAATTAACTTGGACATGAAAGTCCAAGTTAATTGCATATTAAAATAAAAAGGAAGAAAAGTGGTGCATAAACAAAAACTAACAAAATTAAAACTTAAATAGATAACCGTAGTTCATTTTTTCAAATAAACCAAAGTTTGGCGTTATGCCATTTTTCTTTTTAGGGAATCTCCAAGTTTTTCATTGCAATTTTTAAATTTCAGAATTTCATTTTCAAAATTCCTTATTTATATTTTCCGGGTATTCTAAAAAATTCTCGAAACAGGGATTGATAAACTGACATGAAAATTCCGATCGTTATTCCCTCTCGGATTCTCCAAAAAGGCTTTGGCGAATTTGTTCATTTTTAACGCTTAAAATAAAAATCGCATTTTAGACAACAGATGTAAGGCCTTTCACCATTTATACTTTTAGAATTTTTATTAACAACCTTCGATCGTCGAAAAGCCTCCCCTATGGATGAGTAGACTATCAAAGAAGAAGTCATCAACTTTTTAGCATATTTACTCCACAACTCTTGTTGTTTTGCTTTAATTATAGCGATATCCGTATCCAGAGCCAAATCTGTTGGAAATCCATCTGAATAAGTGTTGATGGTTCTGAATACATCAACAAGTAATTCAAGAGGTAAAGTAGTTCTGCCTTGCTCTAGTTTTTTAATTTTAGGTGGGGATGAGATTTGAGTTTGTTGTTCCAATTTCATAATTTGATTGTAGTATATTAGGGATTATTAGGGATAATGATGAGTGGATATAATATTAGGGGCAATCAATTAGTGGGGACAATCAACTAAAATTTTATTAAATTATAGTTATAATTTAGGGGGCACACGGGAAAGGATTCGACAACATTCAATTATCCCATGTTGTGATCTTCGTGGTTATAAAGTGATAAGGGACAAGGATTTATTATTATTCGATTAATCTACATATATAAAGCTCTCACAAACTATTATCCAACAGTATTGCTCAGTGTAAGCGCGCCATTATAAATGAAATATAAATGGGGTCGGTTGAGTCCCAACATATTAGTCTCAGATCTGTCCTGAAAGGTGAGACTCAATTGTCCTTAATTTTTCAAAATACCAAATTTTACAATATAACGAAATATCAAATTTTGTCTGTTAGTTTTTCTCTCTCTTTTTTTACGGCTACTATTTTACAAGCTGTAAATTATATATCGATTTGTTTGCCGTAAATGAATAATCGAATATGTTCGTTTGAGTTTTTTTTGTTGAAGGGATTAAAATTTTTAGAAAAATTTTTTAATATTTTTTCGGTCTAAAAATTGATTTTTAAATAAATTTAATTTCTTTCAAAATTTCAGTTTTTATTCTTTTTACTAAAAGAAACGAATGCATAGTTTTTGGCGCTTATTAAACAAACCTCGTATTGATGACTGGAGCCCTTTAGCCAAATTTTTCTATGCAGACGATGCTCTAAATATTATTGCTCAAGAATTGGATTCTTTTGATGGTAGACGAGATCCAGAACGTTGTAGTCAATTAGTTAGTAAATTAAGACAAGCACAAGACAGAGTTCTTCATATAATATGTTTGTTTTTTCTTAAAATTTTTTTAAAAATTTATTTTGAAATTTTTTAGCAGAAATGGTTTTAATTTGTTTTCCGCATGAAAATGAAAGGACGGGTCGAGATTATCGAGTAAAATTTCCTGATGAGATAGTTCATGATAATTTGCCTGGACAATTGTGGTTTGGGGCTGAATGTTTGGCTGCTGGATCTAATATTGTAATTTATTTTATTTTTTTAATACAGACAGTGGCCAGTCTGTCGGAATGCGATTTTCCGACATTTTCGATAACCGGCACCTTCGATAATTTTGACCTAGGAGAAAATTTGAGGGGAAAATTTTCAAAAGTTTATTTATTGAGAAAATGATACTCTTCTCACTATTCATGTTCTTTAAATACCAAAAATTAATCCTTTTTGATTGGTTGTAGGCAAAATATAGAAAGGCAATTTTGAGGGAATCAAAGAAAAAGTCTGTCAATTTCAAATATATCTGGGAAAGAACTTGGGGAGAAAAAAGGAGCCTGTAACGACCCTAATACCCTAAAATTTTCATTCTTTCTTTCAGGTTGACCGCGAGGCTGAAAGCGAATCAATTCGCCCTATGGCTAAAACATTTGTTCGCCACCTTGAGAAATTGAGAGATCAACTAAAGGAGCAGGCAATTCGCGATCCTAGCCACTACCCCGATTCTATAAGAACTCAATTACAAGTTTTTGACCGTTTATTTGCTGAATTTGAATTTGCGTATGTTTTATAAAATTTAGTGAAAAACTTAAAAGATTTTCTTTTTAAGCTATGTAAGCGCCATGGTGCCTGTTAAGTCTGTTCGAGAATATGATCGACAGCTTGATGTTGCCGTTCTTTTTTCTGATTGTCTTACGAGGTTTTTTTTGGATTATTTAAGATTCGTTTGTGATGTTGGGCGTTTCCGAGATTGTGGCAAAAGAGCCATCTCAATCCTTACATCTATCAGAAAACTTTCAAAATACTTTTAAACGAGGGCGTATCCAAAGAGCATGAACACATATTCGAACAAAAAATTTTGGTTTGACACTCCCCCCGTTTTATCCTTCCTAAAATCCAACCCCTTGATACGCCTTTATTTAGCAATAATTCAACATTTTAGAGCAATCAAAGTTGGATATATCAACAGGGAACAAATTGATGACTGTGATCCAAATGTTATTATTGCATTGCCAAGACTTGCTATTGTTTGGTATATTTAAAAAATAATTTTTAAATTCATTAAAAAATTATTTTAGGGGCCTTCTTTATTATCCAGATGGGGCTTTAGACGTTAAACAAGACAAGGACGCCTTTTCTGAAATGTTTCGTCATTTTCATAAATTACTTATAATTGTGAGGAATTTGTTATTGACGCTTTCGGCCGAGGAGCTTTGTCAATTGGAACTTAAACTGGTTACTGGAAGTGATGAATATACCCCTCCAGCTTCGATTAGAACACTTGAACAACAATTTGGTTTGTTTTTATTTTTGAGTGGATTTTGCGAAAGGAACACCGCAGAAGTACTAAAATGAAAGGGGTTCATACTAGGGTTGGTGGTGACCGCTTAATTGTTGCCTGTGGCGGCGTAATTAGGGAAATATGTATCGTTGAGTCGCTACATGCGAAAATTTACGAGCTGTTCTCTAACTTTTAATTTAAAAAAATGTTCTCCTATTTTCAGTATATGTATAACAGAAATTTTTAAAATTATTTTAGAACATTATAGTATCTAATATTCCCTCTTTTCTTTTTACAGAATGTGACAGTATAATAAACAGCCCAAAAATTGAGATGGACCAACACAAATTGATTGAGCGTAATTCGAATGAATATGATCCAAGAGATGATTTTCCTGAACCAGGAATAGGTTATGTTATGAGAAATCCGAGATGTTCTCAACTTATTCCTTTGAATGCAGAAAAGTATTTTTTGGGGGTTTTTTTTTAAATTTTTTTAATTATTAAAGATCTGAATGTTGTGACCGTTCACTTTATGGAAATTCTGATAGTTTAATTCATCGGCTATTTGTTTGTGTTGCTGGGATTGCTGATCAATTACAAACAAATTATTCGTCTGAAGTTAGGAAAGTGTTAAAAATGGTTTTGCAGCCAGTTGAATCTGTGCCCGTCTATGAGGTGAGTCAAAAGGTGAATTTGAAAAAAATATATAAAGGGAACAAAATATTTTTAGATTTTTTTGAAAAAAAAACTTTTTAAAAATAAGAATAAAATCGAGAAAATATTTTCGAAAAATTTTTAAAAATTTTCAAGAAAAAAATTTTGGTTTTAAAGATTAGTGGAAAAACTGCCCCAATTCCTGAAAATGAAGAGGAGACAGGTGTGGAAGTAAGAGAAACTTTGCCTTTACCTACTTTTGTTGGTGTTCGTTGGGTTCCTGATTCTGAATGTGAACAATGTACAGCTTGCTCAAGGTTTTTTAGATTTTTTTTGAAAATTTTTCTAAAAATTTTTTCTTTTTAGTTTATTCACTCTAGTTCGTCGTCGACATCATTGCAGAAATTGTGGACGGATATTTTGGTATATTTGTTACTAAATTATAACTTTATATTTTCAATTTTTCTTTATAGTGGTAATTGCTCAACCAACCAAATTGCTATTCCAGAATTGGGTTATGACAAGAAGGTATGCAAAATTTAATTTAAAATTTTATATAAATGTATATACTGTTGGGTGGGTGTTTAGTAGGGTGTTTGACTTGGCACCTTGTGGTTGACGGGTTGGGGGCCAGTCAGAAATTTTTGGTTATTTTCACTGGTTCCATATTCACTCCTCTACTTATACATACCTCTTTTGTTAGTAGGATATCCTTAATTTATGATTTTTTTAATGGTATTCTTATAAGTGAGATCCGGCTGTATTATTAAAATACTTAATAAAAATGTAATTTCCAGCTAAAAATTATAGTGATTTATTGACTAATTTTTCTAAAGATTAAAAATTGAATATAATACTCTCCTCAATATTTTTAAACTTCCCTTTTTTTCTAAAGGTTCGTGTATGTGACTTATGTTTTGATTCTCGTATTGATCAATCATCATCACCACAACCACAACAACATTTACTAGATTTATCTCCTCAAAATTCCATTCCTTCTTCACTTTCATCACCAATAGAAACAAATAATTTACAACAACAAATAGTAAATATTGAAAATTCTTCCCCTCCTTCCTCTTCCTCCTCATCTTCTGCTGCCTTTCCTTCAACACTTTTTTCTTCTTCTTCTTCTGCTCAACAAACACAACAACAACAACAACCAGCACAAGCATCAAATTGTTGATAATTATAAATTAATGACTGAAATAAATTTTACTACAAAGAAAAATTTAAAAGAAAAAACTAAAGATTAATTTTGTGTGAATTATATAATATATTATTTTTTAAAGAAGGGAAAGAGAAAAAAGGTCGTTTATATATTTTTTTCTTTTTAATGAAATAAAATAGAAATTTCCGGAAACGAAATAGACTCTATGGGAAATAAATTAATAATAGAACTTTCAGGATAAGAAATAGAACTTTCCGGAAACTAATTTCAAGAATAAAAGTTCCGGATAGAAAATATAATTTCCGGAAACTAAATAGAGAATAGAACTTTCCGGAAACTTTTTTTTCTATGGGACTAAATTAAGAATAAAATTTTCCGGATAAGAAATAGAGATTAAATATAAATAATAGAAAATTTTCCGGAAACTATAGATCTTGTGAAATTAAATAGAAATTTCCGGTTCTAGAATATAATTCCGGAAAGAAGAAATAAAAGTTACAAATTAAATGAAAAAAAATTCCGGAAATAACGGGAATAAACGACATATCTTTTTTTTAAATTATATATTTTACAGGGCCTGTCTATCGCTTTTTTTCATTTTATATATCTAATTTGTGGTTTTTATAGTAAATATTTAATATATATATTTTTATTTTTAATATTAGGGGGATTGTCCTGAGAGAGTTATTTTTTTAAATTAATTTGCGGTTTAATAAAGCATTTTTGAATTTTAAATTCATTTAATAATTTCTTGGCCCTTTCCGCGAAGCTGTTCGGCCAACTACATGAGCAACGCTTTTTAGATCCCCAGGGCTAACATTAGGGTGAAAGGCAGTATTGTTTGCAGTTTGTTGTTGAAAAGGTTGTTGAGGGGATTGGTTGTAGTTAGTCTCTTCTGGTACGACCTTAAAAAATATAGAGTTGATAAATCTATGTTAATTACCTGGATTTGTCCTCCTTGATTCACATCCACTAGTTGTGTAGGAAATTCTGTTGACTGTTGTATTTCTTAAATTGTCCGGAAAGATTAGAACAAATTTTTAGGAAAATTTATAAAAGAAATAGTAAGTTAAAAGTTTCCGAAATTTACATAAATAATAATAAATTTCCGGAAAATATATAGGTATTAATATCTACCTTCATGTTCCTCTGTTGTTTCCTCTGTATTTTCTATAATTTCCTGTTCTTCCATTTTCTCAACAATAATTCCATCACCTTCCCCAAATGAATTATTATCAATGTTATTTTCTACCATATCATATTTTTTGTGTAAAGCATCATCCAATTCTGGAGGTATTCGAAATTCATTTAAAACTTCTTTTTTTACCATAAAATCACATCTGGGATTTTTTTAAAAAAATTCAAAAAATTTTCTATATTAATTAACTGATGTGGTAAAAATGCCCCCATAAACGGTGCAATACTGCCATAACTTAAAAATTCTTGTGCCTGAGAAATAGGTCTAACAAATGCTTCAGAAAGTAATGTTCCTGCAGAACCTCCACATTTTGCATCAAATTTTACTCGAATACTTGAAGGAAAAAAATTTTTTTGAAAATTTTTTTGAGAAATTTAAAAATACCAAATTAGCTGACAACGGGCAAGTTCACACCCATCTTGAACTACAGCCTTTAATTTTGTTAAAAAATTTTTTCGGAAAAAAATTACTTTTCCTTACACGCATAAAATCAGGCGATAATCGTTTTACTAATGGGGGTCTATTAATCAAATTTTTATTAATTCCCCCAATCTTGGATTGTTCTTCAACTGCTTCCCCTACTTCTCCAAGAGGTAATGATTGCTTTGAGGCAACTGCTTTAGCAGCCATTCTTATTCCTTTTGCTGTTGCTTCAGCTGCTGCTCTTTTAGCCCCTTCTAACACGGAATTCAACATCTTTAAAGAAATTTTTTCAATTTTCTAAAATAATTTTTCTCTCGTTTTTTAGTCACCTCTGCATTCCTATGAAGTCCATTCCCACTTAATATCCCCAACCCTTGATCCTGCCGTCCAAGCATTTTTGTAGCAAAAGCTTCACCATTAGCCAAGCTACTAAGGGCGCCTTTCATAAAACTGTCTAAAATTCCTGATTGAATTGCCCAGTGTGCCATCCTTTCTTTCACATGGCAAACACCTTCACATTCTTTGAAATTTTTTTTAATTTTTAAATAATTTTTTTTTAACCCTTTTCAACTTGATCAGTCTGAGCATCAATACATTCTATAACGGCTTCAAATGCTTTTCTTTGCTCTATACAAATATAACGCAATCCTTAAGGATTTTTATTGGTGAATGTTTAATAATAATAATAATGTTACCGCTTGTAATAACGTGAAATGTTTCTTGATTTGTACAGAGCTCACCTTCCAATTTGTCCATGCAATGGACGGTGTTATTATAGTTGCTATAATTAATTAATATAACTTTCCGGAACGTAATAAATAATTCCGGAAATTCTTTCCGGAAACTAGTAATAAAATAAAGACTTTCCGGAAACCTTCAAAACTTTTCCGGAAATTTTTTCCGGAAATTAAATTCTTTCCCGAAACTAGCAATAAATAAATTCCAGAAAATTTCAAAACATTCCGGAAAGTAATAAAATTCCGGAAGGTAATAAAATTTCCGCAAAGAAAATACAAAAAGAGCAATACACATACAGACAAACACCCCTATAGCGTTCAAAATTGCTACTCGACTGTATAGCTGTTTTTGCTGCCTCACTAAATTTGCCTAAACATTCTTTTTGGCATAAAGGCAATGTATTAGATGAAGAACTTGATTCGCTTTAAATTAATTAAAAAGATTTTTAATTAATTAAATTAATACCTATTATTATTGTCAACATCAACAACATCTTCCTCATTGTTTGGCAACTTCTCTCCACTTTCATAATAATAATCAGGAGGGAAACCTTCATCCAAAGGACTTCTATACCCTTCGAGTAGACGAACTTCCGGTTGACGTGCTCGAGAAAGACGGTAACTTGAATATAACAGGATAGTAGTAAATGGAGTAATTTTCCGGAAAAGGTTTCCGGAAAATTTTTTAATATATTTGTATTTATTTATTTATATTTTCCGGAAACTTTCCCCATTACCTTTTAGAGCCTATACTTGATTGTAGAAAAATCAGAAAATAAAAAATAAAGTTTACAATCTTACAAAAGTTTTTCATTCTCTTAAAGCTTGGTTAAATGAACAAAAGAAGAAACAATTCCAATTGTTTAAAGCCTTTTAAAAAGGCTTATTAATCATCTATTATGTTCTTTTCTTTTTCTCTATCAATTTTCCTTGATTTTCTCGATTTTATGAATAATCTTTTTTTTGAATGACACATTTTTTAAGTCGATATTTTTTTTTTGATATTTTTTTGAAATTTTTTTTGAAATTTTTAAAATTTTTATTTTTTTCTATTTTTTAAATTTAATCAAAATCCCCTCTACTCCTTTCCTTCCACCTTCCCCCAAATATAAGTGGAACAAGAGAAAATAATACAAATATACTACATCGACCGTGACTACGCTTTTTTAAGCTAAAATATTTAAATCGGTGGAAATCCTGTAAAATATATTTTAGTTAATAAATAAATACTTGTTTTTTATTAAATGAACTGGTTGGTCTTCTTCCATTTTTTAAAAATAATTTTTTTCAAAAAAAAAGAAAAAATAAAATTTAAAAATTTTAGAAAATCATCTAAAATCATTCTGAAAAATTCAAATTTTTAATTTCTTCCCCTTAAAAATTCCAGGGTACTCCCTTTCATTTTCAATTTTATTACCATCCATCCAATTTCACCCCCTCAATTTTATCCAGTTAAAAAATATTATTAAAAGCCGTCCATTTTTGTAGCATTCTCGATTATTTTGTGCGCGTTAGTTTTTTGATATTTTTTTATAAAAAAAGGAAATTAAATATTTTTTACAATGCGCAATAGATTAAATTTATTTTTTTATTGTGAAAATGTGGGGGAAAATAAAATTGTTTAATAAATAGATTTTACAAGCGAGAAAGTAACCAAAAATAAATATTTATTTTAAAAAAATTTAATCAAATCCGAAAATAATTTTATTTAAATATTTTTATACCTAGAGAATCTCTATTTATTAAAAAAATTTTTAAACCTCAAAAAAATTCTTAAAAAAATTTTTTTTCTTAAAAAATTATGTTCCTTCAACAACTACAAAGACTTGGAAGAATCTCTTTATTAATAATTTTAAAAATTTCTCTAATTTTAATTATTAATACTTTTATGGTTTTTGCGACGGAAGTTGATAAAGGTTAGAAAAAATTTTCTTACCTAGAAATATTCCAAAAAAATTTATTAAATTAAAAAAATTTTTTTTTAAATTCTCCCTTTCTTCCTCTATTATTTTTTAAAATAAAAAAATTCAAAAAAATTTTTTTATTTTTTAAGAATAATTATGTCTATTATTCCTCTCTCAAACCTCTCCAGAATTCCTTACAGATTAAAAAAAATTTTTTCAATTCCAGTCCAGACTGAAAATAAATATTTGGATCAATCACAAAATGAGAAGAATAATCAACAAAATTCAAATATTTTATTACCATTTTCATTATATGAAAAAATGTTATTAGCAAAAGCATTGGATGAACACAGAGCTGTTGAATTGGACGAAGAAAATTTTAATAAATTAAAAGAAAATAAAAAAGAATTTCCAAAATTTCCAAAAGAAGAAATTAATAATGAGGAAATAAATAAAACAAAAATAATTATTTACCTTCCACCTCCAACGTTAAAATACCCCCAAGTGTTGGAGAAGACTTTGAGAAAGAAGGGGGAGAAATTGGAGGGTAATAATAAAGAAGGGCTGGAACAACAAAGAAGACGAAGACCTAATCCTCAATTAATGCTTTTTAAGTAAGTATTCTCTCCTCTAATCTCTCCCTTGCTGTGTTCCTGTCTTGGTAATAACTCTCCAAATTACTGGAGAATAATTTTTCTGACATTTAAAATTCTGAGGATTTTAAAATTAATTGACCTATCGAACCTTCGGCATTTTTAAGTTCTTCAAAAATATTGAAAAAAAATTCATGTTTGTATAGGGGAGGATTTGGGTCGAGCATATACAAATGTTTATAAATAAGCAAACAAATCCATCTTTTATACAATAAAAAAATAATCCAATTTTTGAGCAAAAATATAATAGCTATATGTAGATTAAAAAGAGGATTTTTGTGTTTATGAATATTTAAATTTAAAAATAAATTTTTTGGAAATTTAATAGAAAAATTTTTTTTATTTTCTTAAAGAAGCCACTCTTCAGAACAATATGCTTGGAAAAACAAAAACACTAAACATGAAGAAAAACAAGAGAAATTAAATATTAATAAACAAATAAACACAACAAAAAAACCAAACAAAAACAAAAAAGAAAAAGAAACATTTTCAATGTCTTCTGATGAACATTACACAATTAATAGGCCGATAACGTTGTTTTTACCCCCACCAGTTAGAAGGAATAAAAATCAGAATGAAGATTATAAGAGAGAAAATGGGCGCCCAGTAAAGGCATGTTTGATTAGTTGAGGAATAAATTCAGAATTTATTTAAGACATGAAGTTAAAACAGAATTTAAAACCTGAATTAAATCTAAAACAAGAATTTATACTAATCAGAATTAAATTAAAACATTAATTAAAACCAGAATTAAATCTAAACTTGTATTTAATCAGAATCAGAATTAGATTAAAACATCAATTAAAACCAGAATTAAATTAAAACCAGAATTTACCTTAGAAAAATAAAACCAGAATTATTTGCCCCTACTACAAACATTAACAAATCAGAATTTGAAATAAACAAAAACAAAAACCAGAATTAAAATAAAATCAGAATTTTTAAGAGAATACTCAATCCACCGCCTATGACAACAACAAATAATTTAAACAAAGGAATTGCATTAACTAAACAAATGATTCCTTTTGCTGAAGAACCACCTCCACCTCCAATAATCGCTAATAATAATTTGGAAAATATGAGAGGGTTTTTGATTAAATAAAATTAAAAAAAATTTTATAACAGCAGCCAAGTTCCTTTTATTGTGCCAAATGATGCTAATAATCAGAATGATTTTGCTTCAAAATTATTAGGGCAATTATTTCCCTTGAATGGTGGAGGAGAGAATAATAATAAGCCTGTTTCTGTAAGATTTTTAGGAGAAAATTTTTTTAAAAATTAATTTTCTCTTTAAAGCCACGAATGGCAGCTGCTCCTCTTGCTGGTTCACCTTTCGATTTATTCAGCAATGGAGGAGGACTAGCAGCAGGTCAATCGGCTACCCCAAATCCCCTTCTTCAAATGCTCACTCAGGGGTCTACATTAGAACAAATAACAACTTTAACAAGAAATTTGCTTCAAATGTCAAATGGAAATAAAGAAATCCTTTCAACCTTAATGAATGCAATAACTGGGGGAGGAGGAGGAAGCCAAGCTTCAAAATTAACAAGTTCAGCATTAGCAACAGCCTCTTTACAAAGACAACCACAATTACAAAATAATGCAATCTCTGCATTTTTGGCAGGGAATAAATCTTTAATACCCTCAGCAGTTATAATTGAGGATGAAGAAATTTTAGGGAATAGAAGCAATAGTGGGAGGTTTTTGGAAAGAGAGGAAATTAGGGAAATTGCTTCTAATGGTAAAATATAAAAATTTCTAAATTTAATTTAAAATAAAGGAACAATTACGTCATTTAATGGATTTACACCTGAACAACGAAAATTGCTAGCAGCTGCAGTACTTAACGGTGAATTAGACCCTGAACAGGCTGTAAGGTAGAGAAAATGAACGTAACTAAACTTGCTTCACATTCTTAAATAAATAAAATATAAACTTGCTTAACATAAGAAAACTTAAGTTTACAAATTGTAAATAAACTTGTTTTTACAATTGTAAAACAAGTTTTTAAACAAACAAACTTTTATCTCCTATGATAAAATAAACTTGTTTTTAAACAAATTTATTTAAAAATAAACTTGTTTTTAACCATGTTTATTTAAAAATAAACTTGTTTTTAAACAAGCTCATTTAAATAAAATAAACTTCTTTCTCTAACTTAAAAATAAACTTGTTTTACAACTAGGCTATTAACTTCTGAAAACATTACAACTGCTAACGAAACAATTTCTGAACTTAACAGAACAAACATAGACAATTCTCTTTTTGATTACGAAGAGCAACAACACCAAACATTTTTTGGAACAAAACAAAAACAAGGACAACATTTAATTAATGCAGAGAGTAAATTAATTGAGTGGATACAACAAAACAGGCCTAGACATTCTTCAGAAAATTTTAATGAAGTAATAAATAAAAATGTAACAACATCAACCTCTCCTTTAACAAGTCCTCCAAGCCATGATTGGAATAATAATTTTGTTACTTCAGAAAGGCTTCCTTATTATGGGAAATATTGTGGTAGTTTTGTAGAACAGGTATTTAATGTTATTTAAAGTTTAAGCTTAAACTTCAGTTTGTATTCTTAAAAACATTTACATAAACTAACAAGTTTATTTAAAATAAATTTTAAACTTAAAAACAAGTTTATTTAATACAAACTTAATTAAGTTTATTTAATAAAATTACAAACTTAAAAACTTTAAAAACAAACTTAAAAAACTTATTTAATATAAAACTTAATTGTAAAACAAGTTTATTTTAACGATGTTTATAAACTTAGATACAAGTTTATTTTAAATAAGTTTATTTAAAATACAAATAGAAGCAAGTTTCAAGTTTATTATTAGACAGATAGCGCTGCTTCGCATAACATTGCTGGTGCATTATGGGCAGTGGATGAAAGGCGTTTATTGATAACCAAATTTACTTTTATACCCTTATCAAAATCTGGTAATATTTTTAGAATTTTTATTTTACTATTTAAATTAAGAAAATGTAACATTTTGGGGTGGCCCTTCAAAACCCACAGGAAATGCTGCTTTAGATTTATTTCCTTCCGAAAATGGATTTATTGTTGAAGCAATTCCGATTGAATTAAATATATTTAATGGAAAAATTATTGAAGTATTTAATTAAAAATATTTTTTAATAAAATTTTTAAATTGTTTTAGATTGAAGCAAAAATATTTTCTAATACTTTACAACCCGAAACTCATGATAAAAATAAAAATGGAAGCGAAAAAGTTTCTGAGATCAAAAATAAAAATCAAAATTCTAATTTATTAGCAGAACGTGAAGAAGAGGAAGAGGATGAAAAAATAATAATAGCAGGTAGGGAAAAATAAATAAACTTGAAGCATAAACTTGAAACTTGAACAAAATGATAAACTTAAAAATATAAAAAGTGAAATAATAAACTTGAAACATTTGTAAATAAACTTGAAATAATTTGTGAACTTAAAATAAAAATCAAACCTTAAAATAAACTTGAATTAGGTTTGTAGACTTGAAGTAAAATAAATAAACTTGAATCAAGTTTTCTTAAAACACTTTCAGCCAACATAACTTCAAATAGTACAAAAAGGGATAGAAGGAATTTATACAATGAAATTTTTGATAATATAACTGAAGAAGAAAATGTTAATTTTACAAGATTAGTTAGTTATGATACTCAACAAGATGATATAGAATTTAAAGAAAATAAATTAGAAGAAAAAATAATTTTAAATAATTTTACAAGCTTGTCAGTTAATTTAGAAGCAAAAAATGGAAGCTTCGAAAATGAAAGTTTTGCTTCAAGTTTTATTAGAAATGAGCAATTTGCTTCACCAAATGAAGAAAAAATATTAAGAAATTTAAAATCAACTTATTACCAACAAACTTTACTTTTAACATTACCTCCAGAGAGATTAACAAAATTATTGGATTGGTTAGCTGTTTGGGAGCACGAGGAAAATAAAGAAGCATTAGCTGTTGTTCTGATACCCAAGGGGCTTCAAATACCTTCAATTGTTCAGATTAGAGCATTTCCTTCTCCGGCTATTGGAATTAATGGAGTTAAAATGTTACAGTCTGGACCTATAAAGGTAAATAAAAATAATTCTGATTTTTATTCTGGTTTATTTTTTTCCAACTTTAAAATAAGCTTGAAACATTCAAACTTGTTCAAGTTTATTTTAATGTTGTAAAAATAAATCAGAATAAAATCAGAATTATTTTCAAGTTTATTTTACAATTGTAAAACTTGAATACAACATTTTGTAAAACTTGATGAAACTTAAGTACTTAAGGTTATTTAATTAATTATAACTTAAGTTTACAAGTTTATTTAGAACAAGTTTATTTGTATTTTCCCTAAAAATAAAACACAAATAAATATTTTCAAGTATATTTTATAAAGGTATTGGATACAAAAACAATTGAAGTAACTGAATTTACTTTTCTTTCTGATAACCTTCCAGCTTGGTTTATGGTTGGGAAAGAAATTATGCCTAATGCTAAGGGACATATTGTTCCTATATTTGACAAGTTTGTAAAACATTAAAAAAATTATTTTTTAATTTTTTAGAACAAATAAAAGCTTCAACTGCGATTCTTTAAGAGAGTATCACAACGAAACCGTAAAATTAAAAAAAAAATTCTAATTAAAAAAAATAAAAAATATAAGGTAACTTTACGCCTTCCTGATCCGTTTGATATTAAAGACGTGTTTTGGTTTGCTGTAAGTTGTTTAAATAATTTTTTTGTTTTTTTGATTAAAATATTAAATTTTAGTTGAATTAAAAATTTGATTAAAAAAATTTTTTCAGATTTTCTACATCCCCAGAAATATTCCACTTTCGCACATTTATCTACCTTATGTAATTTTTATTATTTTTAAATTAAAAATATTCCAACAATTTATTTTTTTAATAGAATGATATGCAACTTCCGCCAGATTTGGTTAATTTACAGGTAATTAACAAAATTTTAAAATAAGAAAAATAATTAATTTAGACACCTCAATGTATTTGGAGAAGGAATATTGCCTAAATATTTAAATAAATACAAAAAGTTTTCCGGAAAACACACAGAAAACACAAAAAAACACAAAATTATTCTGACTAATGGACAACACATTTTTAACCTGAAAACACAAACAACCTTCCGGAAATAATTATACAAAGGAAAAATTCTGACTTTTCCGGAAAGTTTATTTATTTTTATTCTTCAAGATACCAAATTATTTATTTTTAGCTAAAATACCCAAAACAAATTCAATTTTCAAAACCCCAAATTTATTTTAAAAAATATAAAATGAAACAAAAATTTATTTTAATTTTTATTTTTCCATACATTTTCAATTTTCTTCTTCTTCTACTAAACTAAATGCTTTCATCAACATAGTCTTCTTCTTTTTATTTTCATTTAAATAGCGCATTTTCCTTTTAAATTGTTTTTACTCACAAAATTAGCTACTAAAACGATACTAGTAATTTACTTTACAAATTTGTATTTTTTCTTTTTCTTCTAGAATTTATTTTAATTTTTACTTGTGTTTTTACTTAAATTTGCTGGGTAAACTAAAATAAAAAAATACATAAAGTTTTCCGGAAAACACTTAAAAATACTAAATATTCTGATTTTTCCGGAAATATGTATTAAAAAAATTTCCGGAAAACACAAAAAAATATTCATTTAATTTCCGGAAAGCTTATAAAAATAAAAATACATCCGGAAAACACAAACAAAAAAACACAAAAACACAAAAACACACATTCCGGAAAATACAAACAAAAATAAATAATTATTCAAACTGAAACTTTCCGGAAATAATGATACAAAAAGGAAAATTCTGATTTTTCCGGAATGTTTAATTACAAAGAAAGGAGGTTAGAGAGCATAGAGTAAGTTGCGCTACTCATGTTATTACATCTGATTTTTGGACATATGTCAGTTGAAAGTATATTATTTTTGGCATTAATTTATTTTAATAAAGTTTTATTTCGTTGTTGATACAAAAATATTTTTCAAAAAACCTCAACTTATCTAAACCCAATATTTAAGCTTTTTTCATCAATAAAAACTCAATAAATGAATGAAATTTGAGCCAATTGTATCTTTTTCTAAAAATATAAATAATAATAAATCTCTTTTTTAAACCACACATTTTGTGCAAAAATGAAGGAATCCTTAGTGTGATTGATCTTCAACTTTTTTTTTACTTTCAAAAAATATTTTATTAGAAATAAAGAGATTTTAGGAGGATTTTTAATTTAATTTTTTAGTTACAAGAAACAAAAATTTTTTTACACATTTTTGGACAACAATGAAACCGAAACAAACAAAAAAGTCAAAAAACCTTTTGTTATTATTTTTTTTGTTTTTTTAGAAAAATGAAAAAAAGCTGCAGTTAACCTCATATGTATATACCTTTGGGAATTTGTTGGAGCAAAAATAGCATAAAATATAAAAAAGAAAAAAGGGGAAACTGAAGCAGGCGGAAATTTACTTTTTAGTGAAATAAACTAAAAATTCGCAACTTTATTTAAATAAACTTTTATTAAATTATAATAAATAAACTTTGTCTAGAACTTGATCAAAAAATAAACTTGAAGCAGGCGGAATTTATTTTAATTCAAGTTTAATTAATTACAACTTGAAACATTTTTAAATAAACTTGTTCTAAATAAACTTTAAATAAATAAACTTTGTTTAAAACTTAATCGAAAAAAGGAAAAAATAAACCAGAAGCAGGCGGAATTTAATTATTCCAATTTAAGTTTAATTAATTACAAACTTGATTTAATTAAACTTAAAAAAGTTTTAAGCTTCAACTTGCATTTTTCTAACTATTTCAACCAAATTTTTTAAAAATTGAAATCTTTTTGTAAATAGCTTATAAAAATTTTATTTTTGATCAATTTTATAGAACACATTTTCCTCTATCTTTTAACATAAAAATAAAATTTATAGCTTTATTTAATCAAAAGATATAAAAAATCCAAGTCAGTTGCGATTATATGGATAACCCCTCCCCTTTTTTCAATAAATTCTGCCGTCACAGACGCGACCCTCACATTCAAAATATTCTTTTTTTAAGTCTGTCAGTCCTCAATAAGTTCCTTTTACCTCTTGAACCTTCCATCCACATAATATATTCCTTTTTTCAACTTTTTTTTATTTTCCCCTTTTTTCCTTTCCTTAGGGAAAATATGCCAGCCACACACCCAAAAACACACATAAATAACCTAAACTTTTTTTACAAATTTATCCGCTGTCATTTATCGAATTTTGTCCTCTTATAAAAATAAAAGCTTTTTTAATGAATTTTATAAAAATAAAAATTTATTTATTTGACAATATTTTTTGCCGTCATTTTCATAAACTTAAAAATATTTTATTTTTTCTTTAAAATTATTTTATGCTTTGTCAAGCATTAGAAAAGGAGTACATATTATTGCTTGTTTAAACCTTTTATTTCATGGATTTTTTAAAATTACAAATTGTAAAATAAATTTTAGACAAACAACTTGTTTAATAAAAGTACAAATTGTAAAAACTTAATAAAACTTTATTACAAGCATGCTTATTTAAAAATCGCAAACTTAAAAATAAACTTAACAAGGTTGCAAACTTAATAAAAATGCTTAATTAAAAAAAATAAACTTGTCCATTGAAAAGATAAAAATAAACTTGAAGCAAAATAAATCAACTTTCTTAGATTTTTGAATAAATTTTTCTTTCCATAAAATTTTTTAGAAATAAATTACTCCTAATTTTTCATTTCTTTCTATAAATTCCAATATTTTCTATTATTATTATTTAAAAAATTTTTTGTGTGTGGGATTTTCTAATGACCAACTTCAACCAACCAACCCCCTCCCAACTTGGGAAAGCGTGAGAGAAGAGGAGTACTATATTATTATTATTAAAAATACCCACAAACAAATAGCTAATAATAATAACAATTTTCCATATACTTTAAAAAATCTCGCGACTATATACCCAAACAAAGCTGCAATTAAAAAAGGTTTTTTTTCTCTGCAGGGGCATTTTAAAAAATATTGTCCTCAACGGAAAAAGGAAAAAAAAGTTTTATTTATTTTTGCTTCAAGTTGGATATTTTTAATTTCAAGTTTGTACTTTTAATAAATAAATCAATCATTTTTTACAAACTTGAATTTATTTTACAATTTGTAATTTTCCTTAAAACTTATTTTAGAATTTGTAATTGTTTGTAAACTTGTTTTACAATTTGTAATTTTTCATAAAACTTGTTTTACAATTTGTAACTTTTTAAAGTTTATATTTTAATTTTATTTTTTTCCCTTGCATAATCTTAAACAAATACTTGAAATATTGAATATTTTTTTACTATTTTTGGCCTATACTTTCGCTTAAATATTATGCTTTTTAGTTACCTCTTTTAGCCCTCTTTATCTTGTAATTTCCTTAAAAATATTTTTAAACGATTTCTGAATTTCTTCCTTCATTTAACTAAAAGAAACATCCAACTTAATAGATGATACTTAATTATTAGTTCCCCCCCCCCCACTACTTTACTTTCTCATGAACTAAAATTAAAGAAAAGACTGATCTCTTCAAAAATCCATCATTTATTAACTAGCTAATTCCCCTTTTTTTCCAATTTATTTTCACGTTTGTTATAATGGCCACCCCTCATATAGCCTTTACGTCGATGGCCAAAGGCTTGTTCCCCCTTTAGCTCTTCCATTTCCTGGACAAAGGTACCTCCAAAGTCTTTTGCTATATCCTCAACAAAAAATATGCCTTTCATTGCTTTTCCTTCCCTTTTTCACTTTCCAAACATTTTTTGCCTGGTTTCCTGTCCCTTGCACTTGGCCATTTTGTTGTTTCTCCTTTTTGCTATTTTTTAGTTATTCCCTTGCTGCTCTTTATATTTATCCATCTCTACAAATGCACACATCCATCGCTCAAATGCCCTCCTATTATTCAATCGTTCGGTCAAGAGCAGCAATATAGCATGCCTTAACCTTCCCTACCATCTGTTTAAATATGTTGTACTTATAGAATAAATCCTAGAATAATAAACTTTGGAAAATAAACTTGAAGCAAACACAATCTTATCTTATTTAATAAATTAAACTTGAAAACTTAATAAACTTGAATTATTCCATAAGTTTCAAGTTTCTAAACAAGTTTTGATTTTCAAAACTTGTTTTTTCAAGTTTGTAGTCTTAACTAAGTTTTAATTTAAGTTTATTTATTTTTCAAGTTTGTAATTTTGTAAAAACAAGTTTTAAGTTTCTAAACAAGTTTTAATTTTTAAAACTTGTTTTTGATGACAAACAATTTGTTTTAAGTTTGTAATCTTTAAGTAAACTTTAATTTTAAGTTTATTTATTTTCTCAAGTTTGTAATCTTTTAATTAATGTTTTTATAGTTTGCTTATTTTATTAAATAAAAGAAATAGCATTTTATTAATTACTAAAAACATTTCTATTTTCTGCACGCAAATAAAAAATAAAAATTTATTAAAAAAAGATCATAAATATGAGGCACAAACCATTATTATTATAACAACCTTTCTTGTTTATTTTGAAATAAAACCTGCCTAAAAATAATTTTTAAATGTGAGTTTTGACGCAAAAATTGAATAAAAAATAATTATTTTTTTAAAGGTCTTTCCCAAATAAATATTTTTGTTTAAATAAAAATCTAATATAAATATAACAAGCAACACTGGCGAAAGGAGCTCGTAGTGGCATGCTTCTCTATTATTTTGCTAGTGCTGTAAAATCTATACAATTTCATGTTGATGATGATATTATTGATAAGCTCAATTATTATTATACAACTGCTATAATTATTGGCAAGTTTATTTTTAAAAACAAGTTGTAAAACAAGTTTATTAAAAACAAGTTTAAGTTTATTAGAACCAAGTTTATTTAAAACAAGTCCCATATAAGTTTTTAAAACAAGTTTTCAAACAAGTTTATTTAATCAAGTTTTAAAACATGTTTTTGTTTAAGGTTTATTTTTTAAAATTGTTTCAAGTTTGTAATAATTTTAGTTTTAATAAATATCAAGTTTGTAATCTTGAACTAAGCCTTAATTCTTAAGTTTTTGCAATTCTGGTCTCAACAAAGGAATACCTCGGTGCCCCTATTCAATGCTGGGTCCCAGCCACTTTTACAGAGCCCATGGAGCAATATACAGAAAATTATTGTTTTGTTCAGGTAAATTTAATATTTTTTAAATTAAATTTATTTTTAAAATTATTACCTATTTTAGAGCACCTATTTTTTGCCGCTAAACGACTACATTCCAAAAATACTTTCAGAACGGGAGCAACGTCAAATTGGCTATTACCAATGGGTATGAGAAAAAAATCTGATTTTTTCTGACAAATTCTGATTTTTTCTAATTTTAGGTCCCCTTTGTATTAGCTCTAAAAGCCCTTCTTTTCTACGTCCCAACAATAGTTTGGAGGCTTTTAAGTTGGCAATCAGGTATTCACGTCCAATCCCTCGTCCAGATGGCTTGTGATTCGAGGCTGTTGGATGCTGAGAGTCGCCAACGAGCAATGCAAACAATTGCTACAAATGTAGAGGAAGCATTGCATGTAAAGCATCAAGTGGGAAATTGAAAAAAAATTTTGGAAATTTTCTAAAAAATATTTTTAAGCTTGGAGGTAGTCGTATGAGAATGTTAAATTTAATTATTTGTACGAGGAGTAGTGGGGCCGCTGTCACTTTTCTTTATATTTCTGTTAAAATACTTTACACGGCAAGTCGAGAATTTTCAAAATTTTTAAAAAATTTTCAAAAATTTTCAAAAATTTTCAAAAATTTATTTTTAAGGTAAACATTGTTGGCCAAATTTTTCTGCTCAACACATTTTTGGGTAACAGAAGTCGTTGGTATGGCTTGCACGTTTTACAAGATTTAATGAATGGGCACGAATGGGAGGAGAGTGGACATTTCCCTCGTGTCACACTTTGCGATTTTGAAGTTAAAGTTTTGGGGAATGTGCATAGGCATACTGTTCAGTGTGTTTTGATGATTAATATGTTTGTTTTTCTGTTTAAATTTTTTGGGAGAAAAATTGGGGAAAAATCTGGGAAATACTGAATATGAATACTAGTGAGAGTGGTACACCGCGTAACTTAAAATTCCATAACTTTTTTTAAAATTTTACCAAAACTTTGATTTAAACGTCTTAAGATAGAGGAGAGTCTAAGCTTCGAAATGACATCAAAAGTAAATTTTAAGACCGGCGTTAACAGATGTTATGAATTTTTAAGTGTGCCGAATTACTTCTATCAAATAAGTTAAAGTTTTGGGGAATGTGAACAGGCAATTATAATACAATAAAATTCTAATAATTAAAAAAATTTCTTATCATTATTTTAACAAAATAAAAAATTATTTTTCAAATTTAGGTTCAACGAAAAAATCTTTTTATTTCTCTGGTTTTGGTATTTTTTATTAGCAGCAGCAACATTTTGTTCCCTACTTTATTGGCTATTTATTTCAATAATGCCTAGTCGACAATTAAATTTTGTTGGGAAATATTTGACGGGGATAGAAGGATATAAAATGGTTGATTCCCAATCTTTGAGACGTTTTGTCTTTCATTTTCTACGGCAAGACGGAGTTTTTCTTTTGCGTATGGTTGCGACACACGCGGGGGAATTGGCTTGTTATGAATTGGCAAAAAGATTATGGGACAATTTTATGGGAGGATCTCAAGAAAGAGGGACTAAAATGCATGATGTTTAACGTTAAAAATAAAATAAAAATTAATTTAAAATTCAAAGAGCTTTCATTTAATTTTTTTCAGGCAAATTTTCTTTCCATCCATTCCCTTACATAATTTTTTTTTAATTTTTTTAAATTGAAAAAAAATTTTTTTAAATAATTTTATTTTTTAATTGAAGAAAAAAAATATTTAAATTAATGACTGGGTAATAAATAAAATAGATGAACGTGAAAATGCGCGAGGAAAATGCTACAAACATTTTATTATTTTACAATGTTTGTAAATTATTTTAAAAGCTAAAGAAATCAGATGCTTCAAGTTTTAATTAATAAAAATCGCAAACTTAAGTTTGCGGAATAATAGAGAAAATAAACTTGAATTATTAAAACTTGTTCAGATTAATAAATAAACTTGAATCAAAACAAGTTTATTTTTAAAATTAAAACTAATAATTTACAACTTAATAAACTTGAACTTAAAACCTGAAAATAAACTTGAATTAATTATAAAGTTTTTAAGCTTAATCTTAAATAAAAAGAGTGAGGAAACGAGGTAATATATAAAACAAATTTTTCCTAGTAGTAAAAATTGAAAAAAGAAATATTTAAAGAAATAAAAATTTTATTCCCAAATTTATCAAAAAAATATATTTTGTCGTATTTATTCTAATAGAAGGCCCTTTTGAATTTTTTCTTACAAAAAATTTTCTCCCTCCATTTTAGGAAAGATTATATAAATTAAAAGCTCCTTCTATTATAAATAATTTAAAAAATAATAAAAAGTCAAAAAAATAATCAAGAAAAAAATTATAAAAAATATTTAAAATGGTTGTTGTGTCAAATGCTGGAATGTTTGTTGATGATTCAACAAAAACCGCAAATTAATTGCTTGTTGCAGCTGTGCTGCTAATGGAGGCGTTGAGGCATTTGATGAGGAAGATTCGCTTTCGTAACATTTATTTAAATTCCCTTCTTTTTTTAATACATTACTTGAACTTGTATTGGCAACAGATTCATTTTCAACTTCATGTTGGGTTGTTGTACTTGAGGTAGAGGAACAACCTTTTCCTTTCATGAGACTTTTGTATTCAGTAATTCGAACCTGTAAATAATATTTATAATTAAATGTTCAGAATAAATCAGAATTTTGTTTAAAAATCAGAATCTCGAGAAAACCAGAATATTCAATAACCAGAATTTTTAAAAAACAGAATTTTCAAAGACAAATCAGAACTTAGAAAAAATCAGAATATTCAAAATCAAAATTTTCAAGGAAGCAGAATTATGAGAAACCAGAATATTCAAAAACCAGAATTTTTAAAAATCAGAATTTTAAAAAAAAATCAGAATATTCAAAATCAAAATTTTCAAGGAAGCAGAATTTAATAGAAACCAGAATTTTCAAGAAAACCAGAATTAAAATAAATCAGATTAAATACAAGATTTGAAATCAGAATTAAAAATCAGAATTTTCAAAACCAGAAGCAACTAATTATTTTTAAAAATCAGAATCTTCATTAAAATCAGAATATTTATTCACCTTTTTCCCATCAACAATACAAGTTCTTTTAGGCCTCGGTCTATAACGGTAATCTGGATGTTGTTCCATATGTTGTTTAGAAAGACGAGATTGTTCATCATAATAAGGCTGTTTTTCTCCATTAGACATAGCCTTCCAACGAGAACCCAAAATTTTTGAAATGTTGCTGTTGTGCATGTCTGGATTTTTCTTTAAAATTTTTCGGCGTTCGTCTCTAGCCCAAACCTTTAAAAAAATTGAAAACAGTAAAAAAATAAAAAGATTTTGAATTAAAAATTAGATTCAAAATCATAAAAAAGTCACAGCATTTTTAGCAAAAAATCAGAATTTTATTAGAATATTGAAATCAGAATTTTTGTAAAATTCTGAAACATTCTGATTTTTAATATCAGGTTTTTTTCAATTTCTGATTTAAAAAAAATTCTGATTTGTACTAAAATCAGAATTTTAAAAAAAAATTTAAAAATCAGAATTATTTAGAAATCAGAATTTTAATAAAATAATAAAAATCAGAAATTTTTCTAGAAATCAGAATTTTATTTTAAAAAATCAAAATTTCCCCTCACCATAAAAGCATTCATTGGCCTCTTAATATGATTTGAAGATTTAGGCCCTCCATCCATTCCAAATTTCCCCACGCCATTATGATTATTATTTGGGGATGTTGCCCCCTCATTTAAATAATGTTTTGAAGAACGTTTTGTTTTATTATAAGTTTTTGTAATTTTAAAATTATTTGTCAAATTTTCTTCTTTTTCGTCTTCCTCCATTTTTGGTGAAGATAAATGTCCGTTATTTTGTTGTAAATTATTTTCTTCTTTTAATTCAGTCATTTCAATATTTAAACTAGGCGATTTTATTATATTTTCATTTAAATCTTCAGCCATTTTTGTATTATTTGGAATTTGTTGAGGAAGAAATGAATTGTTGTTGGTCTGAAACAAGGGGAAAAAATTTTCAGAATTTTTTAATATGAATTTCCAAAGACCCACCTTAGAAGAAGGAGAAGAAGGAGAAGAATTTGTTGTTGTCAAAGTTGTAGCAGTAGCATTTAAAGATGTCGGAGAAGGAAAATTATTATTAATTTGTTGTTGTTGTTGATCAACAAATTTATTTGTAAAAAATGGAAGAGGAGTCTGTGGATATGATAACAAAAAGGCCTTGATCGCCGCAGGCAAAAATAAATTAGAAGCAGCAAAAACATTTGTTGCATTGTTGTTGTTATTAATTGTTGTTGTTGTTGCTGGTGTGTCAAAAGCTGTAGAAGTTGGTGGAGAGTTAACTAAAAACATTGTTTTTTAAACTTGAAACTTTGTTTTAGTAAATGAAAACAAGGAAGAGAATAAGTTGAAACTTAAAAACAAGTTGGAAACTTAAAAACAAGTTGGAAACTTAAAAACAAGTTGGAAACTTAAAAACAAGTTGGAAACTTAAAAACAAGTTGAAAACTTAAAAGCAAGTTTAATAAAAACAAGTTTATAAAAACAAGTTTATAAAAACAAGTTTATTAAAAACAAGTTTTTTTAAATTATAAACACACCTTCATTTCCATTCCCCCCAAAACCAAAATTGTCAAAAACATTGGGAAGCATTGAATTTGGAATTGTAGTGCCATTGCATAACCGGCTAAGATTTAGAGGTGTTTCTTGTTGTATTGGTGGTTGTTGTTTTTGAATATACTGATTTCTATTTAAATAAAAAAGAATTTTTTTATTTATTTAAATTTAACTCCTTACATATTCGAAAATTGTTCTTCTTGTTGAATTTGGTTATTAGATTCTTTAATTTGTTTAATTTCTTTTTCCAATTGAATATTTCTTTGCTTCAAGTATTCATTTCTTACCTAAATATTAATTGAAATTTTCATAAAATTTTTTATTTCAAAACCCACATCAGCCTCATTTTTCGCTGTCAACAATTCCAAACATTTTTTAACCCAAAAATCCTTAGTTTCAGGATTCTCCAAATTTTCTCTGATTAAAAATGCAGAAGATCTAGCCAATTCCGCAACCATTGAAAAATTGTTTTGACAAAAATTTAGAGGAGAAATTTGTTGTTGTGGTAAATTTAAATCATAATTTTGAGGTAAAATTGGAGGTGTTGATGATGAGGAAGCTTTTGATTGATTATTCATTTGGGTTGTTGTTTGGTCAAAAAGTCTGAAAATAAAATGTTAAGAGAGATTATACGACATTTTCAATGGAAATTAAAACGATTGTGGCCAAATTTTTTTTAATTAGCATTGTCAGTTTCAAACCTAACAGAAAGGAAAAACGCGAAGATTTCGGTTCGGTTTCGTTTAACCGAAAAATTTGGGGAAACCGACAACCCTGTTTTTAAGGCTACAAAAATTGACTTTAATTGACATGCTTTTTTTCAAACTTTAAATTATTTTATGGATAATTACTAGCTTAAAATTTATAAAATTAACGTATTAATTTTATTACAACGCATTAATTTTAATAGAAAAAATAGAAAAAATTAAATTTTACACAAAAGAAAATAATAATAACCCATAAAATGAAACAAATGATCTTAATGAATTGATAAGAAACAAGACACAAATATAAATAAATATATCGGTAATGGCTTGGGAAAGAGAGTAGATGTTAATTGTTTTATGGAAAAATAAAGGGGGGGGGGGAAGTAAGCTTAGACAGTTAAAAATAAATTTTTTTAGTTTAAAAGTATTTAAAAAGTAAAAAAATAAAAATTGAATAGGCTAAAGGGTAATTTTTGCAAAAAAAGGGGGAAATTTTTATTGTTAAAAATGAATTAAAAAATAGATGGAAATGATTGGGAAAACGATGAATTAGAAAAATATTTAGAATTCTTAAGCAATAATTCTCTTTGTGGATCCAGGGATGGACACGTCCGGGTTTTAAAAGATGAGGCTGGAAGTGATCTCATGACCGGTCCATCAGGGATCCTGTCAAGACAAATATATGATTTTTCGCTTTATCATAAATTTATTTTTAAAGTCGGCAAGATTCCTAATATGGACATGTCTTTTAATTTTAGGGAAATAACAAAGATTTTGGCATTTCATGGATAGTCTATCTACTATTTGTATTTCTTTATCAAACACAGTAAAAAGAGGCTAGAACCTAAAAATAATGGTCAAAGTAATAATGGGTAGAGTAATTGACCATGCGTAAATTTGGGAAATTAATATTATAAATATACTAACAATTGGAAGAAGGGTCACATAATAAATAATTTTGGGAGCAACGATAGGAGAGAAGGGAAGGGGGGGTGCTAAAGATGTATATATTTGTATGTGCGGGCAAAAAATTTTTGGGAAAGAATCTCTCAAGGCAATAGACAAAGGTAAACGATAAATGAGAAAAGAATGAGTGACCATAAAATGACCCACGAAAACCCCCAAATATTGAGACATCACGCAAACAAAAATTAAATAATATTTTTTTATTGCTCGGCCAATTAATCGAGAGAAAGGAGAGATTGTTATTTCAAGCATAAAATATTATTAATTATTTAGAAAAATATTTAGTAGTGAATTAATTAATAATTAATTTTGAAGAAATTCCCTGAAATTTGGAATAGATTTCAATTAGGGTTTTTCGGCTTTTTTGGCGGTTTCTATTTTTTGGCGTTCTGTTTTTTAAATGAAATTTTTGGAGCGGTACCAATGGATGATATAGAAAATTAGAGGAAGTAAAGACGGACTTAGGAAGATTAACAGAGATAAAGGATTGGGGAGATTAAGAGGGGTATCGAAGGATTTGGGAGGATTACTTTATCCAGTTACTCTTCTTCTCGCCCCTCTACCTTCTCTCCCCTCTACCTTTTCTTTTTAAACTCTTTCCACTTAAAAAAATAACAGAATGCCAAACAAAAGGAAAAATTAATCGTTTAAAAAGTGTTAAACTGATCATTCCAAAAATGGAAGTATATATACTGATCTCATCTACTAAATTATTTAAATGAATAGCTAAATTTGCTTAAATGCAAATAAACGGAAAAACTGATAGAAAATCATCAAAAAAACAAAATGTTTTTTAAAAAAATCGGTGAGTGGGCGATTGTCGGTTTTAATAAAAATGAATTAAAAAAAGGATGAAATAAAAAAGGAAAAGCATTGGACAGAATAAATAAAATTATTCAAAACTTCCCATTTTTGATCAGTTTATTATTTTTAGGTAGGTGGAATAATAAAAAAGGGGGAAATGAGATAAAAATAAATTAACAATAAAAAATTATTCTAAAGGTTTTGGGCTATTTTAATCACAAAAACAATGGAAAGGGATAAGAAGAAATTGAAATTGATTATAACCGTTTCTAAGGGTGTAATTACTGATTCAACCTCTCGCTGGAGGAGGTAACTAATAAAGGCGGGGTAATTATTTGAGGGAGAGTAATTAATAGAGCATATACGGTAGCTAATAACAACCCTTCTTTACGTATTTTTTCTTGATACGGATTTCGTTTTAAGCTTGGATCCTTTTTATAAACATTATAGGAAACCCGAGTGAGAGAATTATGAAAATACAAATCCCAGGTTTTGACTGTAAAAATTAAAATCCTATGAAACAAAATAAAATAACAATTTCGAAATTTTGTTTTGTTAATTGTTATAAAATTAAATAAAATTACTCTATAAATTTAAAAAACAAATTAACAAATCAATTTTTTAACAAAACAAATTTTATCTTTATTCACATTTTTTATTTAAATAAAAAAAAGTGATTCAAAAAATGTTTACTATTTTATTATTTAAATACTACATTGTTTAAAGAACATTTAAAGTTTTTTTCCCTAAATTTGTCACATGTACATATTGTTAAAAAATTAAATAATAAAGAATTGTTTTTCTTAAAAAAGACTTGAATTTATTTAAAAAAAAATTTTTTTTGCTGAAATTTCAATTTTTTGTTATTTTTGGGTTCCTTTTCTGATAAAAAAATATTCCCTATTTTTAGTTTTATTATCTTTTTTTTCTATTTTTAGTGATCAAAAAAATAAATAAAAAATTTTTTGGAGGAATACTAAGGCCTGATATGGGTCCTAAAAATAATTGGAAAGAATCAAGGCATTAAAAGACTCTGATATGGGCCTCGAAAATACATGATCATATGCATTATTAAAAAATAATTTTTTTTAAATTCAATCCAAGTCTAATTTAAAATAATAAATAGAAGCACATAATCAACAACAAAAAATTAAAAGAAAAATATTTTTTAGAGAATGATTTTTAAATTTGGGAAGCTGTTTATTATTTAACTGATAAGTAAAGAATCAAGGAACGGCGCCATTTTGGTAGAAAAAAGGGAGGAGAATTAGAAATTAATATTCTAAAAAAGGGAAAATAAAACAAAGGCGGGCAGATGACCAAGGCAAAACAAAAAAAGAAAAAAAATAATTTTAGAATGACTGCCAAAATAAGGGAAAGGGATCATGAGTTTAAAATAAATTAATAAGAAATAAATTTAAATATTTTCTGTAGGCATAATTGAGCGGCATTTTTGTCTTTTTATTTAAAAGAGGCTTAACTAAAGGTGTAATATACTCGTAAAAAGTTGAATGGTAAAGAGGTTTTTGATTTTTAAAAATTTAAAAGAATTATAGTTTTTCCTTTGAGAAATGCCGTCTTGCCTAATTAATTTTTAAATTATTTTATAGGGGCAAAAAAGCAAATAAATATTAATTTAAAAAATAATTATTGTGGGAAAATAAAAAAATATTTTTTTAAAAATAATTCTAACTACCTAAAATACCTTTGATTTTAAATAAATAAAAAATTTTTGTTTATTATTTACCTAAAAATATTTTAATAAACAAAACTTGACGTAAAAGTCTATAAAAGTAAAAAAGAACGGTTTTATGTGAACAATTGTATAAACAAATATATAATTAACTAGAAAAAAGTTCAAACATAAAACACCTACGCGAGTTTGTTTAAAATACATAAAAGGACTTAAAGTTTTGTATTTTATAAACTTGAAATATTTAAATAAATATTCCGGAAAACACATTCTGAAAATAGAAAAATACAATGAAAAACACATTCCGGAAAACAAAAAATACAATTAAAAATGCATTCCGGAAAAAGCAAAAATACATTCCGGAAAAGATAGAAAATACAAAGAAAACACATTGCGGAAAAATACAATGAAAAATACATTCCGGAAAAGAAAGAAAATACAAAGAAAACACATTCCGGAAAATACAATGAAAAACACAATCCGGAAAAAGCAAAAACACATTCCGGAAAAAAAGAAAATATAAAGAAAACACATTCCGGAAAAATACAATGAAAAACACAATCCGGAAAGTTCTGGGAAAATCGGAATAATTAAATCAATTGTTTTTGAAGCTGAATTTTATAGGCGTTAAAAATAACGTGTTTTTAAGTTTAGAAATTTAAGTTCTCAAGTTAAGTTTTTCCCAATTATCAGAAACACAAAAATAAATGTTCTCTCAACATCAACACATTTTTGCCCATCTCAATCATTTCAAAAAAAGGTGTAATATAAACCTCTCAAACAGAAACAAATAATTTGGGCAATGGCTTGAGGGGAGAGGAGAAATAGAGAAAGGTGATTTGTTTAGATAAAAGCGCGGCAATTTATTTTATTGCATTTTGGGGTTATTTTTTGAGTGTTTTTGTATGTATATTTTAGACGTTGTCCTAACTTTGTCCAGACAATAATAAAAAAATAAAGGAAAAAAATTATTAAATATTTGTTTTTAAATAATTAATAAAGAGGTTGGGAAGTACTGTAAGAACGAGTTCTATATAAGCTGATAAAAATTAGTTTATAAGCTTATCAGTTTTTATGAAACTTAGACCCAATTAAACAGAGAAAATGAGGTTTTATGCCAGTTATTTGGGGGTTGCACTTAAAAACTTAAGGCTCAAGAACAGATATACGATGATACTTGAAGGTTGTGGATGGGTCCTACACCTTATTGAAACACATTCAGGAAAAGTATAAACTTGGCACCATTTTTTAAAAAGCATCCGAATCTAAGTGTTATAAAAATAGACACTAATTGATGCTATTAAATAGTCTCGATAAAACTAGAGCCAAGCATACCTAATTTAAATATAGCATAAACAACAAAAGAAAATGTAGCATAATGAGAGGGATAAATAGGGGCGGGGTTTGAGAGAAAAGAATGGGCGGGATATTACTGTAGTGAGTGCGCGACTATAAAAAATGTTTTTAATGCAAAATTTATGTAAATGTTGAGTTAAAAATTTCAAAAAAAAATTATTTAAAAATTTCAAAAAATTTTTTTAATTTTCAAAAAATTTTTTCTAACCCCCACCTTTCATTTTCATACTTCAAGTTTTCTCCATTAACAACAACATTGTTTGCCCCATTCAAAACAAGTTTATTTTCAAGTTTGTTTTCGTCAAATGTTTCTTCCAAAACATGTTGTTGTTGTTCATTTAAATAAACTTTGTTGTTCTTTTGTTTGTAATTTAAAGTTTGTTTTTGGGGTGTTTGGATGTTGGGATCGGTAAATGTTTGGTGTTTTGCGATACAATTATTATGGGGTAATGTTGAGGGAGAAAATGTTGTTGTTGATAATTGTTGGTGTTGAAACTGTGAAAATTAAAGGGAAATTAATTTTAAAAATTTCTTTAGAAAATTTTTTGTAATTTTTTAAATTTTTAGAATTTTTTTTTATTTTAGGGAAAAATTTAAAATTTTATTATTTTCCAAATTAAAAAATTTTTTTATTAAACAAAAGCCTACAGGCTTATTTAATAATTGTTGATCCCCTGGTTTTGTATTCATGAGATCTTCCTCTTCCCCTTCATTTTCCTCTTCCTTCACAGAATTTCCTTTAATATCATGACAGTAACTAGTCGAAGCTATTTGGGGATCGACAGCCAAATTTTTATTAATTCTCTTTCTTTTAATTGACAGAATTATTTCTTCCTCTTCCTTGTATTCATCCTTTTCTTCCCCCTCTTTCTTGTCATCCTCCTCATTTTTATTTTCTTCCATCTCTTCATCCGTCTCTTCTTCCTCCTCTTCCATTTCCCCTTCATTTCCCTCAATTTCTTCCTCTTCTTTCACATTAGAGTCAATTTCTTCCCCTTCCCTTCCTTCATTTAAAACATTCTCTTCCATTTCTTCCTTCATTCTCGACGATGAAGGATTATTTTCAGAAACAGAACAAGTCAAATTCATAATATTATAATTATTTTTATTGCTTTTAATTAATAAATTATTTGGTTGCTCTTTTTGGACAATACTTTGACTAATATTGCTAATTTTTTCGTTAAGACGAGGGTCAGAAATTTTGGAATTATTAATTAATTTTGAAGAAGAAATTGATTGTTGTTGAAGAAGAGCGTTTTGACTAGGTAATCGACGTATTGGAGCAGCCTTTCGGCGACTTGACATTCTACAAAAATATTTCTAGAAATAAAAAATTTTTTGACGTACGGAGCGGAAAATCTAGATGCACGATTCTCGAAAGCCGGGAATTGGAAGAAAATTTGGAAATTCCGACTTCTGTGAATCTAATTTTTAAGTCAGCTAGATTTTTGGCATTGAGTGAAAAAAATACGAGAAAATTTTTGGAAAAAACGAGAGTCAAGGACAAAATACCTTTAAGAAATAGGTGATCAAAGGGAAGTAAATCATACAAAATTATTTAGATATTTTATTTAAAATAAATATGTAATTACAAAAGGTATAAACCAAAAGTAGCAATCTGAAGAATGGATGAGAATTATATTAAGAAAAAAATTTCAAATTTTGTATTAAATATAATAATTATTATAAGACAAAAACAAGGTAAAGAAAAAGCACTCTATTAAATTAAAAAAATAAATAAAACAAAAAAGATTTAAAAATGTGGAGATGCTTATTATTATTATTTTAAAGATTTATTATTTTTTTTTTTTGGCAAGATCTTTCTAAAATTTAGAAGGGTTAATTATGCAAATATAGGTTGAAACAATCGAGGCTGAAACAATTCTAGTGTCGAAAATATATTCAGGACAAATTTAAATTAAAAAAAAAATCCTTGAAAATTGATGCTAATTTCCGATCATCTGGCTACAGTTAAAACATTCAGGGGGTACATATATCCTATTCCATTATTTCCTTATATTATGGTTATGGCTCCGGTATTGCTTCCATAAACACGGAGATCTATGAGAAAGAACAATTTGGGCTCAATTAAAAATTTTTTTGAAAATACGGGCAAGCTTGGAAAGAACCTCAAAATAAGCCTTAATATTTAAATTGACAACTGAATGAATTTAAAAATTAAATCCTTCCTTAAAGCTTAATGTATTTCCTCTTTTTAAAATTATAAATAATTGTTTCTTGTGCGCAATAAAAATAAAATTTTTATTTTAAAAACAAAAAAAGAGTTTTTAGGAAAGATGTAAAAATTATTAAAAAGGTGTTATTGTGAAAGAGGCACTTAAAAGATTAAAATAAAAAAATTTGTAGTTAAAGAAGTATTGTAAATATTAAAAAGATTTAATGAAAGGGATAGGGAGAGATTTGCCAATTTAGCCTGTGAATGAGGATATGCCCGGTAATAATTATTAAGTCAGTAAAAAAATAAAAGAAAGGAAGGTTGAATAATAAATAAAATTATTTTATTTTTAATTTTTTAAGTGCCGGAAATGTAAGAAGAATAAAAAGAATTGCGCAAATTAAAGGGACATGAGTGAGGTAAAGCCCATTAATTCTTATGACCTTATAATTAATTTTATAAAAATTTTTTTTGATATTTTTAAATAGAGAATTAAATTTGCTATAAAACAGGGTTACGATTCGTACTTTATTTGAAAGTACAGTACTTTAAAATCGACCTCCGTACTTACGAAATTGAATTTGTACTTTATTGAAAGTATGTACTTTAAAATCAACATTTTGAAAAAATGGAAGAAATCTGGCTTAAGGACCCCCAAATTTCTCAAAATTTTCGCCTGCGGCGCAAAAAATGGAAGAAATCTGGCTTAAGGACCCCCAAATTTCTCAAAATTTTCGCCTGCGGCGCAAAAAATGGAAGAAATCTGGCTTAAGGACCCCCAAATTTCTCAAAATTTTCGCCTGCGGCGCAAAAAATGGAAGAAATCTGGCTTAAGGACCCCTAAATTTCTCAAAATTTTCGCCTGCGGCGCAAAAAAATAGATTTATTGGCGCCTTCGGCTCCACAAAAAGTGCATTGAAATGCACAAAATGCTTGGTGGAAACAAAAAATTATTAAAAAAGATTCATTTAGGAGAGAAATATGAAAGATTTGAGCATGAATAAATATTTTCTAATTTAATTTTGAGTGTACTTTAAATTTGGAAATTTAGCCCCTATGTACTTTTAAATCAAGATTTTTGTACTTTTGATGGGCATTTTGTCGATCGTAACCCTGCTATAAAATAGAAAACAAAGCAAAAATTATAGAAAAATGGAAAAAATAAAATTTAGAGGGGAAACAAGCAAACTTGAATTTTCAAAAATTTTCCCCCGTTTTAAGGACAATCTTAAAATGTCTTTTTTAGATTTCTTGATACAAAATAGAATTATAATTGAATCTAAATAAAGTTTTAGCTAGCTCTTATCCCACAATTTCTAAAAAAATATTTTTTAAAAAGCCTCATTAATCTAACGGCACAAAGGTGTAACCAAGGTATACGATAAATTGTTGAAAAAAAATAAAATGAAGGAATGAAAATAATGGATGGAGATTTAATGGAAAAAGGGAGAATATAAACCAATTCTTAGTTTTTAAAGATAATGCCAAACTCACTCCTCTTCTTGGCAAAATTATTATTATAAAGCTTTTTTAATGTCCATTATCTCCCCCCCCCTCCCTTCCATTATCCCCTCTATTAAAAAAGCCAAGGGCGGAGAGACGCTCTAATGATTTTTGTCAACAAATGATCCCCTTTTACATATTCACGCGCTTAAAAATCCTTGTAAAAATGTGTAAAAGAAAGGTAGAAAATATTAAAAAAGATGGCACGCAATCCTTTCTCTATTGGATGGAAAAATTGAGGAAGATTGCGCGAATAGGGAGTTAATTGCGCGAAAAAGATAAAATGTTGAAAAATAGGGAAATTTATGGAAATTAAAAATAATTTTTGGAAATTAATAAATTATTAAAATTGAAATACTTCCTAGAAAAATAAAAAAAAATACAGAGTGGGGATGGGGCGGGTCGAAAAAAATTTCGTGCTCTCGTATCAGGTTTTCAAAAAAATTCTTTTAGAATAAGGTTTCGGATTTCTAATCAAAAAAAGAACAGGGTTCGGGATTCGGGTAACTCGTCCTATCCCTAATACAGGTAGGGAGGAGAATAGTTGACATGAGAGGAAGAAAAGTTAATTGAACAACAGATATATGTATTGCCTTAGTTTATGCCTTATAACTAAATAAGCTTTCAACAATTTTTAATAAAACTAAATATTGTTAAATAGAGAATTGAATTCTCTATTTAAAAAAATAAAATTAAAATTTTTGATTTTCAAATTAAAAAGCTGTCGACAAAAAAGTAAACATTTTTAACCAATTAAAATGCCTAGAAAACCGAGTTTTTCTAATACATCTTTTTTAGTTTGTAACAAAAATTTTCAATTTTTCTATATTTTATAGAGAATTTAATCCTCTATCGAATGATACCAAAAGCTTCTTAAAAGGTACATTTATTCGAGAGATATTAAGGAAAAAGTGAGGTGCACTCACTATATATTAAATATTAAATAAAGCAAAAATTCTTTTTAAAAATTAATTTGACATTAAATTTATTAAAAGATAAGAGATTAATTTTGCAGCATTTTTTAACCTTTCTAATAAATAAAAAAAATTTTTTTTTGTAATAAACTTGGGCAAAAAGTAAATATAAAATAAAAAACAATTAATTAATAGCCCACCAAACTTTCTTTTGAAAATAAACCTTTTCACCTTTATTTTAAAAATAAATAAACCTTTTCTCTACAATAATCTCTTAAAATAAAATACAAATTCCGGAAAAGACTTTTTTGATATTTTCATTTTTTAATTGTCTTTTGACTTTTTTTAGTCTTTAACTGCGCGACATTAAAAAAATAAATTTTCTTTTGTTTGTAAAATTAGCGTAAAAAGAGAATAAATACAAGACACAATTCTTGAGTATTTTTTGGCATTTTATTTTGAATAATTACAAGAAATCCCAAATATAGAAGTAATGTACTTATTGCTAGTTAAATAGGTTATAAACAATAAAACTTGAAGCAAGATTAAATAATAAAACATGAAACGTAATAAAATATTAGAACTTGAAATTAAAACTTGAAACATTAAAAATAAATAAAATAAGAAGCTTGAACTTGAATATTGAAACTTGAAGTCAAAACTTGGATTAAATAAAATACAAGTTTACAATTTAAATAAACTTGAAGCATTAAAAATAAAACTTTAAAAAAAATTTTTGAGCTTGAACTTGAATAAATAAACTTGAAAACTTAAAAAACTTGGATTTAAAACTTGAATTAATTAAAACTTGGAATATTTTTTAATAAACTTGAAGCATTTTTAAAAAAAATATTTTAAGGTAAAATTAAAAGGCTACATAATTTAAAGGGTTAAAAAATTAAAAATTAAATTTAAAAAAATAATTTGAATAATTCATTAATTTACTTAATTAAATAATTCAATTTTGCATTAAAAATATTTTTTAAAAATTAAAAAAAATATTTATTAGTCAATAAAGAGATAAAAAGGTTAGCGCTCAATAAGCATTTTTACAAGAAAATGGAGGGGAAAACAAAGCTTGTTATATATTTTTTCTCTTCAATTTTTTCTAAATTGGCATAGAAAACAAAAAAAAATAATTTTTGAGTAAAAAAATAAAAACAATAGGAATAACTAGAAAAGACACAATTTTGTAAATAACAATAACTCCAAAAAAGAGTAAAAGCAGCTGGTCGCTGCGCTCATTAAATTTACTTTGAGGGGGAAAAAGCGTGGTTAGTTATTTGCAGATTGGACATAAAAAAGGAAAAAAATAGAGGATGGCATATATATTTCATAATCTGTTTGAAATTTAATTTTAAAAATAAAAATTTTTATCAAGAAGATTTTTAGAATTAAATGAAACTTCGAGGTTTGGAAAATTTATCTAAAAATAATTCCGAGAAATAAAATCTCTGACTAACACACAACAATGGCCAGTACAGATACATATTTTTAATTGTTTTCTTGTGCCCTAAGGGGGTGCGAAAAAAATAAAAAATTTTTAAATAAGTTTTAAGGCCAAAAATTAAAAATAAAAACAAATCCATATCTCCTCATTGTTTTAAAAAATTCTTTGATCTTTTTTCTCTCATCCAGAAAAAAATAATGGGGTAGAAGGGAATTGGCCAAATTTGGGAAGCTATTTTATGATATACAACTCTTTCACTACCCCTAAAAACAAAATTTTTTTATTGCTCTTTGAACAATAAAAAAATAAAAATGAGAGGATAACAATAAATTATAAAATATATTAATGAAAATTAAAAGGTTGAAAAATTAGGAAAATTCCGGATAGAAGTTTAATACCCTTACTTTAAATTTTTAAAAATTATTCGACTAAAAAAGGGAACTAATTAAACGATTTTGGATACTTCTCATTTTAAAATAAAATTTCCAAAGCACCGAAGGGTGTTTTAAGACGGAGGTTCGACTGCTTAATTAAATTTTGATTAATTTTTTAATTATATGTCTGAACGGAAATTGTGTCTGATCGAAATAAAGACTAGATCCTGAATTTAAAAAAAAATAATAAAATTGTTTAATAATAAATAAAATAAAAAAAAACAAAAATGTTGCTAATAAAAACAATAATAAAATCTTTAAAAGAGCGCTAATTTATTTAAAGCTAACGTTGAAAATGCTTAAAAACTTTAAAAATAAAAAAGAAGAAAACTTTTGAAGAGTCGCGCGGGTAAAAAATAAAAGAGGAGGAAAATTTATTTTTGAGGGAAAAAGAGGATCAGTTAGTTGTTTGTTAGTTAGTTTTAACCCCCAAAAAATTTTTTAGGACAAAATTGAGGGAAGAACAAATAAAAAAAATTTACAAAATAAACAAAAGCACTCGGGAACAAAGCAAAAAAAGAAAATAAAAAAATTTAAGAGTTGAAAGGTAAAGATAAAATAAAAAAATTAGAGGAGAAAGGGAAAACTTTTTTTTAATCAAAAATAAAATTTTAGAAAAAATTGTCTAGAAAAATAAATAAATAATTAAATTATTTAATTAATTATTTAATTAAAATGCTTCAAGTTTTATTAAAATTTTGTTTCAAGTTAGTAAAAATTATTTTCAAGTGCAAGCATATTAAAAACAAAGTTGAATAAACAAAGTTGATTTTTAATGCTTATAGGTTTTACAAACTTGAATAACAAACTTAGATTTCTTTAAAAATAAACTTGAATTACAAACTTAAATATTTCAAGTTTGTAATTGAAGTTTTAGTCAAGTTTGTAAAACTTGGATAATTTAAATAATAAAACTTGTTTTAAGTTTATTTAAAAATAAACTTGAAATAAGTTTAATAAAGTTTATTTCAGGTTTATTTAAGTAATAAAACTTGCTTCAAGTTTATACAATTTTTATTTTAAAATTTAAAACACAAAATATACTAAGCTAATCGTTCCCTAAAAATATTTTTTATTTATTTTTATTTTTTCTTTTGTTTTTAATTTTTTTCTTTTTTACTTATTCCGCTTTTAACCTTTTGTTTGTCATCTTTGCCGCACCCAAAAAAATTTTTTTAGCCAAAGTAAAAATATAAAGTTTTTTGGGTGGAGAGAGTTAGTAATCAAAGTAGAGTGAACACAACAAACAATCATTTCATTTTCCCCCTTCTCATCAAAATCAGTCAAACAAAGACAACTTTTTCTTTTAAAATTTTTTCCAAAATCTTTAGAAATGTTAAAGAAAAAAATAAAATAATGAAAGAAGATTAAAAAAATTTTTTCTTAAGGAAAAGCTTAGGGATACTGCGCATATCAGCCTAGGATACTTGCTTCAAGTTTAAATAATTAATTTATAAAATTATTTTAAAAATTCTTGAATGGTCTTAAAAATATAAGAAACATTGGAAAAATTTTTTAGAAAATTTTTTGTTGAATTTACTATTTATTTTTCTCATAAAAATAATTTTTAAAATAAAGGCATTTAAATAATAATAAATATCCCGAACATAAAATTAAAATAATAAAAATTTTTAAAAACAAAAATTTTTTTTCAAAACAAAAATGAACTAAAAACAAACAGAAAAGTCTGCTAAGTGTAAAAATAAAATTTATTTTTTCTCTCCCTTGCTAAATATAATAGTTTTTATCAGCAAAATATTACAAACAATATTAACATAGAGAGAGTAACCCAAGAGAGTCCCTCTACGATTTATAACTTTTAAAAAATTAATAAAATTTTAGATTAAATGATAATAAATAGAGAATTAAATTAGCTATAAAATAAAAAAGAAATTGTAATTTTATCTAAAGAAATAAAAAAGTTATGGAAGAAAAAGTAACAGCGTTTCGGCTTAAGTTGAAGATTTTGCAGCATTTTCTGGCTAAAACTTTTTTTTAATTTTTAAAATAAATTTTATCTTGTAGAGAATTAAATTCTCTATTCAATAAAATAGAAATTATAATTTTGAGTAAAGAAAGAAAAAAAGTTATGAGAGGAAAAGTGAGGACTACTTGAAGAGAAGCAGTAAGGTTTTGCAGAAATTTTTGGTTAAGACTTTCTTTTTAAAATTTTCAAATAAATTTTATTAAATAGAGAATTCAATTCTCTATTTAATGATATAAAAATTTTCCCAATCTGTTAATCCATTCCAAAGTTATAAAAGAAAATGTTTGCTAGACTCGTTTAGCAGCAAAAATAATTAAAAACTTTTTTTTCAAAATTTTTTTTAAAGTACTTTAAAATTATTTTTGATAATTTTAAAAACAACAAAAGTAGCGTTCAAAAGCTTAAACAGATATACAAATAAAAAAAATATTAAAAAAAATTTTGTATTTAAAATTTTAATTAATTTTAATAGTAATATTTTAAATTATTGTCCCTCCGCGTTATTATTAAAATTAAGAGAGGTGAATTAGGTAGATGTGATTAAGTACGGTATGAGAGAAAAATAAAAAATAATAAAATTTTGAAAATTAATATTTCAAAAATTTGACACTTCGAAATTATACGTTTTGAAATTTGATTATTATTAAAATTTGGCATTTTTAAAATTGAAGTTATTTTGAAATTTAAAAAAAAATTAAGATAAAAATAACAAAAATTACAACAATAAAATTAAAAATAGCATCAACAAAACGAATCAGAATTTAAAAATAAAAGAGAGAGATTAAAATCTCTAAATAAATAAAATAAAATATTTAAACTTTAAATATTTAAAAACAATCGCCGCCATTTTGCTTCAATTGTTATAAATTTTCTTTAAAAAAATTCTTTTATTTTTTTTAAAATTTACTCGTTTTGTGTATTGTTTTTATTTTTACAATTAGAATAAAAAAATAAAAAAATTTTGGAAAAAAGTAAAAAAAAAAATTAAAAGCAGCTGCTATTTAACTATTAAAATATTTACTACTCCCCTCCCTCCCATCCTTTAAATCTTTTGCCGCTTCTTCTAGTAACGCGCATAAAACTCGCATCTTTTTAGAAAAAAAAACATAAAAAGCATAAGAAAACAATGGGCAAATGGCAGAGGGAAAAAATAAGGAAAAATAAGCAAAAATATTTTTCCAAAAAAAATTATTTTACTTTCAGAATAGTAAAAACCCCCCAACATCCATTTACAATAAGGTTGGCGGATCCGGATCCGAAAAAGGCAGGATATCCGGAAAATTTCGGTTCGGATACCGGATCCGGATATCTGAAGATGTTTTTCCTAAATAAGTGTTCAAAAGGATTTAAAAGTTATGAAATTCCTGTCAAAAATACCCGCCGCCAAATCCATATTATGAAAAAAGGATTTCAAAAGTCGTTAAAATTGAAAAAAAAATTTTAAAGAAGGGGGAGTAAGAGAAGAAAGGGAGAACAATAGCCTCCTCCCTACACAATAGCTAAATCCCAATATTTTTATAACTGGATATAGGGGAGTAAGAGAGATAGAACAATAGATACGAGCCAGAGATATCTTCGGCTTCCGCCTTCTGTAGAATCTTGCCTACCCCTGCTAAACCTTTCCTTTCCTAAAAAATTTTTTTCCTAGACTCTAAAATATCAGGATATTATACATGTAAACAATATGCCTGATTGAGAATAAAAAAAAATAAAAAAAATTTCGTTGCAATTTATTCGGCAACAGATGTTTGTGGCTATAATAGGCCCGGCAAAAGTAATCTTTTTGCCTACGCGGAAAAAACAAAAGAAAAAAATTTTTTTTGAAAACAGAAGGAAAATATAAATTTTATTAAAATAGGGTAATTCTTAAACAATTAAATATTGTTTTCATCATTGTTATTCAATAAAGAAATTGAGAGATCCTAATCTAGGTAGAGGTAATCTCGAGGCATATGACATTCGCGAAGGCGACACTTGCGGAGCCTATTTATTTTTAAATTTCGAATTTTTAGATTAAGAAGGAGGGTTTTTTATTTTAAATTAGAAATTGGATTAAAAGGGTCATACAAAAATCGAGATCGATATCTCGAAAAATCTCGATCCCCGATAATCGAGATTTTCGTTAGTGATCTGAGCTCGGTTTAGTCTTCCATGTATATAAAATCAGTGGTGCTCTAAACGACTTTATCCTATAATGAGATGTATATTAAATAGAAGGGCATTAATTACTTGGAACAGCTCCCCCGCTTTGTATCTAATTAAAAATTAAAAAAAAATATTTTTGTGTTTGTAAGGGAGAGCTGATTTGTACATATAAAAATTGAAAAAAAATTTGAAAAAAAAATCAGAAGAATAAATAAAAATATTTTTTTAAATAAATAAAACATTTAATTACTAATATTTAAAAAAAGTTTATTTAATTAGGTATATTATGCTCCAAAAATTTTTTTAAAAATATATAAATTTTATTTTTAGAAAATAAAATGCGTAATTAAATAAATAATTAATTAATTGATATACCTATTTATTTTTATTATTTGTTTTTAAATGTTTAATTAAATAGAATTTTTAATTAAAATATGTAACAATAATGAATTTTAAATTAATTAATTTTTAATTTTGCAAAAAAAATATTTTTTAATTAAAAACTTAAAATAAATTAAAATTAAAAAAATTAAAATTAAAGAAAACAATGCATAATTGATTTTGTTATTATTGT